CGGCAGTGAAGATCTTGTCTATGGACAGCAAGGAGAAGCCATGTGCTTCTGGACTTTTGATCCTCGACGAGATACACTTAATTAAAAACAAACGGTCCAAGCGCTACAAGCGATTCCTGGATTGGCCATGCAGTCTTCGCTTAGGACTAACTGGGACTCCGATTCAAAACGATTTGGTGGAGTTTCTTGCAATTGTGGCCTTGCTACGCCCCGGTCAAGAGATTCCTGCTGTGAACCTGACTGTTCTTCGTGACGCGCGAGAGCCCGGCGCGACATTGGAGAAGATCGGCGAAGCGGAAAAGCAGCTGTCTTCGTTGCAGGCCTTCACCTGCGACTTCATGTTGCAGCGCGAGATGGACAGCCATGCACTGCCACGCAAGACGACGCACTTGGTTTTTTTGCCACTGCCGGAGCGCATGAGAGTGCAATACCAAAAGACCTTGGACGAAGCTTCTTCTGCTACAGCAAGGAAATCCGCTTCCATCGAGACTTTGGAGAACCTCAACAAAGTGCTGTATTAAATGACCAATGGCAATCCCAAGTTGCTCGACTTGTTAGCCTCTGCTTTTTTATTCGAAAAAGCAAAGCTGGCCCCAAAATACTCGTTCTAGACGGTGAGCGCCCTGTAAGTGAGGATGAGGTAAGAGGGAAGGTTGCAGGCTGCAAGGCAAGAAAAGCTGGGAGGGTGCAAAGCGGGAAGGCTGGAGGGCTGCAAGGCTGGAGGGCTGGAGGGCTGGAAGGCTGGAAGGCTGGAAGGCTGGAGGGCTTTCAGGCTAGGGCTGGAAGGCTGGAAGGCTGGAGGGCTGCAAGGCTGGAAGGCTGGAGGCTGGAGGGCTGGAAGGCTGGAAGGCTGGAGGCTGGAGGGCTGCAAGGGCTGGAAGGCTGGAGGCTGGAGGGCTGGAAGGCTGGAGGCTGGAAGGCTGGAGGGCTGGAGGGCTGGAGGGCTGGAAGGCTGGAAGGCTGGAGGGCTGGAGGGCTGGAGGGCTGGAAGGCTGGAAGGCTGGAGGGTGGAAGGCTGGAAGGCTGGAGGCTGGAAGGCTTAGAGGGCGCTGGAAGGCTGGAAGGCTGGAGGGCTGGAAGGCTGGAGGCTGGAAGGCTGGAAGGCTGGAGGGCTGGAGGGCTGGAAGGCTGGAAGGCTGGAGGGCTGGAAGGCTTAAGGGATCATCATTCGAAGGAATTGAAGGAACCCACAACCCATAAACCTGGAACCCTCAGATCTGAACGGTATCCTATCCTAAAACGAGCCAGGTTCGACTATGTCAAGACGTGGCTTCGTGCGTGCGAAGGCAAATGTGTCATATGCTCTTCTCGGCTTGATGTGCTTGAAGCTTTGACGAAGCTGTTGCAGGAACTCGACATGGATTTTGCTTACTTCACTGGCACCCAGAAAGATCGCGAAGAGCATTTGAAAGCCTTTGCCAACCTGCCATCAGTCAAGGTCTTGCTATTGAGCAAAGGCTGCGGAGCAGAGGGCTCAACCTCACGTCCGCATCGCACATGCTTCTGATGGAACCAGCTTGGAATCCCAGTCAAGATGCCCAGGCGCAGGCGCGCGTGTGGCGTCTGGGGCAGAAACGACCGTGCTTCATCACGCGGCTCATTTTTGCCGGGTGCTTGGAGGAGAAGATACTGCAACGGCAGACATACAAGCGTGGTTTATGGAAGCAAGAACTGGAAACTGCAGATGTGGAACAGCGGCAGCTTCGAGACATATGGTTCTTCAAGCCAGAGACCAGCTGCGCAACCTGGGAATCGCTGTCGAATAAAGAGGGCGTGTACGCCGAGATGCACGGCATGACCTGGCAAGGTGTACGACTGGCAAGCTACTTCGTCATGACTGCTCCTCCACCTTCGCCCAGTGCTAGAGCCCTGCCACCGCCGTGTTTCTCTCCTGGTGCTGGAGCCCTGCCGCCGCCGTCTGTGTCTCCTGCCGCTAGAGCCTTGCCGCCGCCGTCTTTCTCTCCTGGTGTTAGCAGCGTGGAAGACGCAAGGCCAACGCCTAAAAAAAGGCGGCTGGCCAGCAGCAGCAGCAGCAGTGGCGCACAGCAGCAGCAGCAGCAGCAGCAGACGCAGCACGTGCTGGTTATCGACGGCTCCACCATGACCTGTAGCAATGCTAATTGTCATCTGCGAGCATCCAAGAAGAACATCTACCTGTACAGAGGATCGGGTAAATTTGCTTCGAACTGCCCGATTCCTGCGGCTGCGGCCGCAAAAGCCGCTGCAGCAAAGGCCGCTGCAGCGAGAGCCTAAGCGCTGAAATCTATCTCAATTGTGTCTTTCAGGGTTCCCTTTAAGGCTTCTTTGAAGGTTCCTCTTAGTTCAAATCACTATGGGTTGTATTCAAGGTGCTGAATGGTTATGTGAGTAGTCTGCCAACTGTTCGGCATGAAGCGCCCGAAGCCCTTACCCGAAGCCCGTACCCTTCAACTATGAACCGTATATGTAAACCCTGAACCGTGAACGTTAAACCCTAACACCTTCATGCGGACGTCAGAGTCAGAGGCTTTGCAAAGCTAGACATGGCTTAGTGAGCTGTTAGTAAGTAGACTATGAACAGCTTGCTAAGTCCCCCGACTTTCCAAGTCTACGCTTCAACCCTCTTAGGAAGCCTCCAACGGAACCCTGAAAACCCTCGAAGGGAACTCCAGCAAGATGGAAGTACAACCGAATCTAACTAGCTGGTGCTTAGTAGGGAATGAGGGAATGGATCCCAATATAGTAGTCCCTATATGCTGCCTTCTAAAGGCTCCTCCAACCCATTCCTTCATTCCCTACGAGCTAAACGCTGAAGAAGCCCCTTCAAGAGTAGAAAGTTGGAATATGGATTAACGGTCGGATTCCTTATTAGTTACGTACCTGAAGGACAGTAGGATTATGATATTCCACCTTTCCGGCTTTCACCCTAAACCCGAAACCCCAAACCTTAAACCCTAACCCTAAACCCCTAAACCCTAAACCTTAAACCTTAAACCCTAAACCCCTCTAAACACCTCAACCCCTAAACTCCTAAACCCTTCACTGGCAGGCCATCTTCTTCGTGCCTCTGGACTTTTTCGAAAAGAGTGATTCCTGTTCTAGGCCGAGAGCGGCAGTGGGAAGGAATCAGCTCATGCTCCTGTCCTAGGCCCGGCGCAGTTGGAAGGAGTGGGAGGGGCAGGCGGAGGGCTGGCGCGCGGCTGGGCTTGGATCTGAGAGGCTGGATGGCTGGAAGGTTGAAGAGGTGGGCTGGACGGTTATTGGTCTTGGAAGGCTGGAAGGCTGGAGGGCTCGAAGGCTGGAGGGCTGGAGGGCTGGAAGGCTGGAAGGCTGGAGGCTGGAAGGCTTAGAGGGCGCTGGAAGGCTGGAAGGCTGGAGGGCTGGAAGGCTGGAGGCTGGAAGGCTGGAAGGCTGGAGGGCTGGAAGGGTGGAAGGCTGGAGGCTGGAAGGCTTGGAGAGCTGGAGGGCTGGAAGGCTGGAAGGTTGGAGGCTGGAAGGCTGGAGGCTGGAAGGCTGGAAGGCTGGAGGGCTGGAGGGCTGGAAGGCTGGAAGGCAGAGGCTGGAAGGCTTGGAGGGTTGGAGGGCTGGAGGGTTGGAATGCCGAGTAGGGCTGGAAGGCTGGAGGCTGGAAGGCGTAGAGGGCGCTGGAAGGCTGGAAGGCTGAGGGGTGGAAGGCTTGGAGGGCTGGAGGGCTGGAGGGCTGGAAGGCTGGAAGGCTGGAGGGCTGGAAGGCTGGAAGGCTGGAGGCCAGGGGCTGGAGGGCAGGCTGGAGGCTGGAGGGCTGGAGGGTGGAAGGCAGGGCTGGCTGGAGGGCTGGAAGGCTTCTGGAGGGCTGGAAGGCTGGAGGGTTGGAAGGCTTCTAGGGCTGAGGAAGGCGAAATGTTGGGGGGGTTGGAGCGCTAGGTGTCGAAGGTTGGAAGGCAGGTGGCGGAGGAAGGAAGCAAAACCTTGTCTTCCGGATGTTTTAAAATTGGGCGGCCCGAAGCCACTGCTGTTAGACCTAGTGCAAAAAACCTGTTTATGCTGTTTACTTGTCCGGGTGTTTAAAAGTAGGCGCCGTAATTATTCAGGCCCGTTTTGCTAGGGTTGCTTTAACTCTAGGGCTGTTGCTCAGGGCTGATCTTCGGGTATGGAGTCAGCCCCACCAGGACGGCTTAATATAGGTATAAATTAAAGGTTCGTATGTTTTGCTGTTCTCGACACCATCACATATTTTGTATTTAGCATAAATATACAAAAGCCTTATTGTAATTCATCACGGTCCCCATATTATAAATGTAACTTGGACTGTCAGGGATCCTTGATATATGATTAAACGTATCACCGGCCCGGGTCAAGGGTTTGGATTTAGGGTTTGAAGGTTTTGGGCAAAAAGGCCTAGATAGTCACTGGGTCTATGTACAGTGCCTGTGCCGTTTGATTTGCAGGGTTCATGAGTTTCGCCGTGAGGCTGGAGTGGTCTGGGGCCATATAAGGGCTGAGAGCTTCTACGAAGCAGTATGATGAGGGTCCGTCAATCAATGTAACTGATGTTGCATTTTGATGTCGTCTAGTCCCTAAATCATTGTGGCATACTTTACCAGGAAATCGTTTGCTGATTCTTGAGGACCCCATTTTATGGAGCCCTTATGAGAACCCGTAGAAGAACCTCTTCACAGGGGATCCCTAGTCTAATTATCGAAGCACCTAAACCCTAAACCCCGAGCTTTTTTAAAGGAGCCCGAACGGTTACGGTCCTTGTGTTGGGGTAACAGCAGTGAGCAGTCTTCCAACTTGAGGCATCCCCCTTCAGGTTTAAGTTTTCGGCTTTCGGCCTCAGGGTTCGATGAGTGTAGGGATTACGATTCCTTGACCCGCCAAGCCCGTGAATGCTACACCCTTGAACCCCACACATCGAATCCTTATTATTCCCTAAACCGAACTTGAAGACTAGAAGCCCTTGCTCCCTAGTCCCTTCAACCCGGAAACCTCTAGGCACCACCGTATGACCCCAAACGCTAAAACCCTAAACCGAGCCCGAGGACGTGGGGCCTGTGGCAGCAGCCGCTCGCACCCAGGTGGCTGCATTCCATGGAGCCCAATAGCTCCGATATCCCGTAAGGGTTCTTTTCAGGGTCCCTTTAAGAGTCCCTTTCAAGGTCCCCTTGAGGTTTCCTTTCAAAGGTCCCGTTAAGCGTTAAGGTTTCTTTTGAGGGTCCTGTTAAGGGTACATTTGAGGGGACTGTAAAGGTTACTTTATGGGTCTCTAACCATGGCTTCCTTCAAGGGTACTATACACTCCTTTGACGGCTTCTTGCAGGTTGTCTTGACCAAGCTTAATTCATGAGCTTTGCGACAGTGAGGGTGTTGTGCCCCTTTGTTGGTGAGCAGTTGCGTTAGGGGTTCGAGAGGTATAGTGTTGGATTTTGCGGGGCTCTGTAGGGTTTACTGCGGGGATTTGCGGCGATGTGCCCACTTCCAAGCTCTGCTTTCTGTAGATGAGATGTGCCAATACGCTCAAATTCACTGATCCAAGAGGATGCTTCTAGATTCCAGATACCGCATCTATTGACGGGCAACTGCTTACAATAGTGAGAGTGAGATGTTTTGCTTTGCAGCTGAGAGCCATTGTGCATCTGGAATACGAGGGGATTGTCTTTCCAATTGTTCAGACCCCTTAAGTTACGAAGCTTGATTTGTTTTACCCAAATCCTCCCGAAGCCTTGCATCCCACCAGTCAGTATTTCAATCGTAAATAAATAAAACCCTACTTGTAAAGCCGTTCCATATGCTTCGACGTTATTAACATCAGTGGTCGTAAGCCCCAAAGAGGCCCCAATCGATCGCAAACTTTAATGGACCAGACCTATGGGCTTCAAGGAAGGGGTCCTGATCGGCTGCAGACCCCGGGAAGATCTAGAAAGTAGATCCCCTAATTTGGGGCCCCTATACTACTAAGGGTACTTTCTAGGAACCCCCGATTACTGGATCTACTTTTGGGATCCTCCCGTGGGTCTGGGTTATCGCAGCTTTAGGATCTAAGAACCTTGAAGCCAAGACTTGAACAAAACCCTAAAACCGGATCCTGGCATGGGCTTGGACCCGTGCCTGCAGGGCTGGAGCGCACCCTTTGATGTTGATCCTAGAGATGACAGTCCATCCTATTCACGGTAGGGGTCATCATGCTCAAGTACAAGTGCTTGTCATTGCACATGCTTTTTTTTGCGCAGCCAACTGTAGCTAGTCTGAGTTGCTGCAATTGTTGGGCCTTCGCAGTTTGCGCCCGCGACGCAAGACTTTGGGTGGGGGCAGTGTTCGCGGTCTGTTGTCGGCGTGTAAGTCCACACCAGTGAGTCCTGTCAGCCAGATGTCGATACCGTGGAACCCAGCTATCGAGGTTTTGGTGTTGAATAATTATATGAAAGGAAAATGGAAAATTTCGACAGTTCACGCGTAGTACATAGGTTGTTTGATGGAGAACCATTGGAACGGAGGCGCTTCCACTAAGATTCAACAGCTCTCGTCACACCAAAAGCGTTAGTATGTACTATGTATCATTTGTGCTGTACCATCTCAGTTTCCCCTTGAAGTCGGTGTGTGGCATGTGGCATGGCTACGGCCTAGTCAGTTTCATCAACATCAACATACATCAATTCTAAGGGCCACCGCGAGAGAACAGATGGGAATGCGAGTAAGTTCCATATTCTCACAAACCCCCAGCGCAGAGATTTCAGTAGTTGACAGACAGTACAAGGTGTCATGGGTCTATCAAGGCAGTTGGCCAGCAGTACATGGTTTTTCATAGTTGTCATAGTCTAGTTACAAGTTGGCCCACGGTTGTGCGAAACCAATGCTGCAATTGGGGCTGCCATCGTTGGACAGTGTGGTAAACCACTTCGTTTCATAACTGAGCTGTATACCTTGTCCAGTGATGCAACTTCCGAAGACGCGGTAGATTATCGGCATGTTACGAACATATCCACCAAGCCCGACGACCCGCAAAAGTGCGAGGTTCATTTGTTTGCGGATTCCAGGTGCCTCCTTGGAACCAGCCTCTACCTGCAGAGGAGGCAGAAGCCCGCATCTCAGAGACTGTTGCGCAAGGTTCAGGCGCGAGGAGGAGAGGGGAGACTCACAACAAGAAGTTTTGATGAACATGATCGAAAGACGAGCTTCAATACGTAATTGCGAGTGCAGTCTTCCGAATTGGTTGGCTGAGTTTGAGAGCGCCAAATCCACTGGATGCTCGTAGGCTTGGAACTTTGTCATTGCGCAAAAGACTAGCTGAATTGCCAGCAGGAAAGCAAGGGCATACGGTAGGGAGCGCCGGTGTGGAGGGTCATCGAACGGGTAAAACTAGACTGTCCGCGCGGTTTGTAACATTGACATGATCATACATAATCTTGCGAGCAGCTATGACAGTTTCAATGGTCAATGGTTGCATGATTTTTTTTGCCATTACTATTTTTCCGCAGCCCGAATCTTCTTGCTCCGAGGCCGTGAGTAGTGAATCCGACGAGGCCACGGATGAGGCAAGAATTCCGCAAGATGTTTGTGTACGTCTTTACAATGTAGGTAATGTAGTTTTCGGGTTCAAATTGGGGGTTTTAATGTGTATTTAGGATTTAGGTTTCAGGGTGGGCAATGGCCGATGAGTAGCTATGGATACAGTAGAAGCCCAAAAGTTGGAAGCCCCATAGCCTCAATCCTTAAGGCTTTAAGAGTATTGTATAGGGAATCCCAGCATTCTTTGGCCTTAATTCGGTTTCCGACTTTATGGGGTTTACCGTATAGGCTTGAAGTTCGGGTTGGTTGGGAAGAGATGAATGATCTGTCGGTCTGATCTGTGGGGTCAGTGTTCGATCGTCAGTTCGGATGCTATAATCGTCGGAATTCTTGGTAACATTAAACTCTTTGGGTCCTGAGCAGAGGGTTTTGGGTCTAGAGGTTTTGCGTTTCTGGAGCTTTATGTCTATTGCCCTCCTTCTAAAACCCCCTCAACCATAAATCCGCCTTTATACGCCCATCCAAGAACTTTCAAGCCACCCTTATAAACCCTGCGCATCCGGGCCAAAGCCCCGTACGAGGATGAAGAGGAGATCAACTTGTCGCAGTATGAGATCTCCGATGACGATGATGAGGCCTTCCGTTGCCTCAGGGTTCAGGTGTAGGGTTGGGGATTAGAAGGGTTTAAATCTTGGTCTTCTAGCATTCAGGTCTTCGGGACCTGCGTTCGGCATGTCTCTATACCTCTATCAAGACCGGACGCCACCTCTTTCCCCCATGTTCCAACTTTCCCGGGCTTACCACGCGACCAAGAGATCTGAATTTTGGAAATGCTGCATGCGCATAGTCCCTATGTTGCTGTATGAAAAAGCCCCCCTACCTTCATTCCAGTCTCTTGGATGACGCCGTAAACCGTAAACCGCTAAACACCTAAACGCTAAACTTCCACAAACCTTACAAAACTTTTTGTAAAATTCTTATGTGAGCCCCACATATACAGTCCTTATTGTAGCATCCCTTGTAGAACACTTAAGGCTTGCCTAAACCCTAAACCCGGAACGGAACCCTAAACCCCAACCGCCTAAACCTTGAACCCCTAAACTCCTGGTATAGGAATTCCTGCTGCTCTGCAGTTGGAAAAGGGCCCTTAAAACGAAATCCTAAACCCAAAGCCCTAAACCCTTAAACCGCCAATTAAGCCCGAAACCCTAAACCTCAATCCCCTAAACCCTAAACCCTAATCCCCAAGCCCTAAGCCCTTAAAACCCTAAACCCGCAGCCTCCAAACCGCCAAGCCCCAAACCCCGCACTCCAGAGACTCCAATATCCCTTAATTGTGGAATATTCCTTAAATTATAGTTTAAGGAACATTCCATAATTAATTCATTAATATATATATATATATTAGGGATCCTTTTGTAGTTAAAGGAATATTCCTTAGTTAAGGGATACTGAAGTCTCTGGGACTCAGCCCCGACCTTCGCTGCGCCGCAGAACTTGGAGCCGCCCGTGGACATCAGCGACGCGGAACCCGGGGCTCTGTTTGATCAGGGACCCCCAAAATCTCATAAGCATAAGCAATTTATGGGGGGGATATCCCTACCTTATTGGGCTTCATTATAAAGGGGATTTATATGGGATATTCCTATCCTAATTTTTGCTTGTGTGCTTTTTTGGGGCCCTGTGTGAGGGGTTTACCTAGACCCCCCAAGTACCCGTTAATAGAGACCTTATGGTCCTTAAGAGTGGGTATTTAGTGGTGTATTAAAGGGGCTCTGTTTGAGGGGTTTAGGGCCTTTGGGGCTTTAGAGCTCTATGGTTTAGGGTGTAGGGTTTAGGGCTTTAGGGTTTTAGAGCTTTAGGGTTTAGGGTTTAGGGGTCTGGGCTTTAGCTAGCACTTTGTGTTTAATGTAAGGCCCAAAATTTTGGTCTTTTGGAGGTTTGTTTTAGGAACCAGCGTGTCCAACTAGCACCCTTGTGTTTGGGTTTTTAAGGTTCTGTTTTAGGAACCAGCGTGTCCAACTGGCACCCTTGTGTTTGAGATTTTGTGTTTGGCTAAATTAATAGCCTTCTATAGTGGGGCTCTGGAATAATATCGGGGCCTCAATAGTCAGAGTAGGGCTTGGTGGCCCATTATACTATACGTACAAGAAAGAGGCCAGAGGCTTTGGCAGGGCTTACGCTCAGGGGGGGGGTTGGGGATGGGGATTTCGACTCCAGAGCTCTGGCACACTACCGTTCCCCGCAAGAGAGCGGTATAGGTACCTAGCAGCCTCCATCATGGAACCCTTATACAACCCTTTGTAGGAGCCCTTTAAGTAGCCCGATTATAGAACCCTAGAGCACCCTTATAAAGGAACCGGTTCAGGGCCTTGGAATACTGGGGCTTGAGGTTTCGGGCTCCTAGTACGACTCCTTTAATGACTCCTTCAGAGGGGTTCCTTCTCGGGCTCTTCTTGAGAGGCGTCTGGGGTTTAAGGTTTAGGCTTTATAGGACTTAAGCGTTAAGGGCTTAAGGGTTTTTAGTCTAGGGTGTATGGATTTTGAAGAATCTGTTGCCAAGTGCTAAGAATGCCGCCGTTTGGGGCTTAGAGGTTCGGAACTGAGGGTTGAGGCTTTGGGGGTCGAAGCACTTGTTTGTTGGCACGTTCGTCCGTTCGGATTTCACATTTCAGACACTCTGCCCTGTTCTTGCTTCTTGAAGGGGCCATTTTGGCGTTATTAGTTATAGAGACCACTGTAGAATGAACGTCTAGACATGTCCACTTTCGCACGAATGCTGCTTCCTTACGGAAGCCACTGTGAAGTGAAAGTCCAGACGTCTGTCAGTCTGGTTCCTCAACCCGAAAAATCAAACCCCTCAAACTGCAGCACAAAGGAATCCCCCCAAACTCCTCAGCCCTGAACTCAGCACTTTGAAACCCTTAAATGGAAGTTTGGATACTAGGTATTGATCTGCTATGTAAAGCTTACCATGACGCTCTAACGTATCCTTCCCCAAAGCTAACTTCTCTATTTACGAGCTCCCCCAACTCTTCAAGTGGGGGTTTCCGAAATTTGGGGGTATTTTGGCGTCCTTATAATAAGCTTCCGACTATTTAGGCTACTATATCAGGGCCCCTGTTTTCGAAAACTCCTAAACCCTCGAGAATAAACCCTACACCCTTTGTATAGATCCCTTCAAGGAGCCCTTAAAGGATCCCTTTAAAGAGTCCCCTATTTTCGGAAACTCCCATTTCAGCGCCGAAGGTCTCTTTTTAAACCCTAAACCCCTAAACCCATGAACCTTTTAAAGTAAACAAGGAGTCAGATCTGTTGGACTTCGACGACCTAGGCGATGACGACTGGCAGGAGCCTGCTTATGGCTTTAGGGCTTTGGGTTTAGGGTTTAGGGGTTTCAGGGCTTTGGGTTCAGGGTTTAGAGTGTAGGGCTTGAGCTGTACTGAAATTTCGGGCTTCAGGGGTGTAGGTTTGGATCTAGTTAGGAACGCATAGAATGAATGGCCTGGATAATTATACCGTTCTTCAGCGTTCCTAAGTCTTGGACTACAGAGACAGCCAAAAGCCTGTTGAAATTTTGATTATAATTCCCCTGTAGCTGATAGTAGTGTAGGAACCTGATTAAGAAACCCTGGGCCTAGAACCCCAACATAGTCATATAAGGAACCCAAGGTTTCTGAATCAGGTTCCTACACTATTATACCGTATTATTATTTAGGTTGGATTTCGGGACATTGTTTATTTTCCTTATTTGGGTTTATAAGGGACCCAATATATATATATATATATATATATATATATATAATTGTTTTCAGGGTGTTTAAAGGCCAACCCAGTTATACCCGTATAGATCCCTTATAGGAAGCCTTTTAGACCCCTTTAAAAGGATCTCCAAATAAAGGCCCAAGGTTTCTTAATCAGGTTTCTATACATTACTGTGAGGCCGCAAGGCAGGGTCGAGACCCCAAATCGGCAACTGAGCTGCCCTCGCCCCAAATTGGGAGTTTCTGAAAATTAGGGGTCCTTTAAAGGGATCCATAAGGGTTCTTTAAAGGGATCGATAAAGGTTCTAGAAAGGGTTTAGGGCTTGAGAGTTTCCGAAAACTAGGGGTAGCTTATTTTGGGGTCCTTATAATCAGGATCCTATTATTTAGGGTACTATACTGAGATCCCCGATTTGCGGAAACACCCAGATGCCACCCAACAGCTCTGCCCTGGGTGTAGACACCCCAAAATAAGTCTGGATAAAGACCCACAGCGAGCCGATTTCGGCGATTCCTTTTGCTGCCCACTTCGGCACAGCTGCAATCATGCAGTGAGGCCTTTAATGTGGAAAACCAGCAAGAAGAATGTCACTGTCGCCGCAGCCAAGAGGACAGCCAAGGTGACAGAAAGAGTGTGAAGCACATGCAGCAGCGCAGCGTGCAACACGCTTCCGCAATAGCCCTCGAAGACCTGAACGAGCTTCTGAAGGAGCGCCCCCTGGTCACGCAACACCTGCTGTCACTCCTGGACACGGGCGCTTTCGACAGTGTAGACAAGGCGGAGACTGATGCCGATCATCTTCCTGCTTCCTGCAAGAAGTAACTGCTAGAAGCCCAGTAAACCCTCAACCCCAGAACCCAGATGCCCTCCCTTAACCCCCAAAAACCTACCTTTTTAAGGACTTCTGTAAAGAGATCATATTAGGGAACCCGAAAAGGGTAGGTTATTTGGGGTCCAGGTAAGCCTTAAAGTAAAGAAAAGGGGATCCTAGCACCAATCCTCCGAAAGCCATGTTCCAAATTTTTGGCTTCTACTAACTAGGTTGGATTTTGGGACATTTTTTATTTTGAGTATCTGGATTTCTAAGGGACCTATATCAATATTTTTTAAAGGGTGTTTAAAAGCCAACCCAGCTAAAGCCTGGCTGAATGTCGGGAGGACGATGATGATTGGAAGAACTACGAGGATGAAAGTGAAGATGACCAGGCTGGTCCTGCGTCGCTTCTGTGGTTTGGGGTTTAGGGTTTTAGGTTTAGGGTTCGGGTATGGGGTTTAGGGTTTAGGTTTTAGGGTTTAGGGTTCGGGTATGGGGTTTAGGGTTTAGGTTCTAGGGTTTAGGGTTCGGGTATGTGGTTTAGGGTTTGGGGCCTGTAGGGTTTAGGGTTTGGGGCCTGTAGGGTTTAGGGTTTGGGGCCTGTAGGGTTTGGGGTTTAGGGTTCAGGGCTTGGGGCCTTTAAGTTTTTGGCCGGGGTTTGGCCTGTCAAGCCCTGTTCCAATTAAGTATTGAGTGTTTATTTCGAGCGCTGGCGCTTCAGACTTCGATGTGTAGGCGGCTATGCCTGCTGGGGCTTCGGGTTTACGGGTAAGTTATGGGGGCAGGACCCGCCAAGTTTGAAATACATGCAGGGGCTCGTGATCATCCACAGAGTGTCTGCGTTCTTGTCAAAGCAGCTAATCGTACAAGTTACCAGAATAGGAGTCCATTGTAAATATTATGGTTTCCTTTTTATGGTATCTTAGATGAGACCCCTTAACAAGGTGCTGTTCTGTAGCCGTGCTCACGGGAGTTTCGCTTTCCCTATCTGAGCCAGCGGAGAGGAACAAGGGGGTTCGGGCTGCCTAAAGGCGTAATGGTTTAAGGTTCAGCGTTTAGGGTTTAGGGCTGCGCCCGAACCCTGAACCCCTAAACCCAGCATAACAGATCGGCTGCTGCCTGCGCAAAAACACATCAGATAGTCCTTCAGCCCTAAATGGGAGTTTCCGAAAAATAGGGGGCCCTATTTTAGTAGCCTAAATACTAGGATTCTTATTATAAGTACCACCAAAATAAGGTGCCCCTAATTTTCGGAAACTCCCAAATCGTCTTACGCCCGATAGGCTTGAACCCCTAAATCCAACAAAGTGCTGGAGCCCAACACGGGCGACTAGACCCAAACCTTCATCATCAAACTCTAAGCCTTAATCTAAATGCCTAAATCCTAAGTTTCGAACCTTCAACTAATTAGTGAGAGAACTTCAACAGCCGATCAACACTGAACACGAAGCCTTGAACATAACATAACCTTCTAACTCCCTTACCACACAAACTCTATGCGTTTCAAGTGCCACGAAGATCTTGAACTTTTGAACCCCGTTTGTCAGAACAAGAACGATCCTGCACAATTTAGGAATCCCCGCGCCCTAAACCCTAAACCCCTATACTGTAAACCCCCTACTTGGAGGTTCCTGGGTAGTTCTAAGTGGGCCCTACATATAACCCTACTTATAACTCCCCAGGACCCTCCAAGTAAACCCTAAACCCTATACCCTTACAGAATCCCTATGGATCCCTTTGAAGGAACCCTACTTATAACCCTACCAAAAACTACCCATGAACCTCCAAGTAAACCCTAAACCCTATACCCTTATAGAATCCCTCAAGATCCCTTTAAAGGGGCCATTGAATCCCCAAGAGAATCCTGGCTGAGGAAGATCCGGGGCCCTTGAAGCACGGCTTTACCACCTGGCTCGCCTGTCTGGACGAGGCCGTGGGCCCAAATTGTTTGGTGTGGGGCTTGAGTTTAGGGAATTAGGGATTAGGTTCAGGTTTGGGGGTTGGGGTTTAGGGGTTAGGGTTGGGGTTTAGGGGTTTGGGGTTAGGGTTTAGGGTTTTGGGGCTGGGGTTTAGGGGTTAGGGTTTAATCTTTAGGGTTTGGGGTTTAGGGTAAGTCTGCAAGCTGAGGTTACGGGGTTCAAGCTTTGTTGTTTCGAGTGCTCTGTAGAAAAGGGGTTGCGCTAACGGGTTCTAAAGGATCTGCAGTGTTAAATGAGGCTTCCATGAAAAACGGGAAGTTCCATGAAGGGTTCGGGATCTACAGGGGTTCGGGGGAGTACGGTTTGGGGTGTTGGGGGTCGTATATAGCCGCAGCATCGACGAGGAGGAGGAGACATTATGAGGAAGACTGCTGGTAAGTTGTTCCCGCTCGCTCTCATGTAGACGACTGTGACGGTGATGACGACTACCAACAAGAATACTGACGCGCATTGTCAAGGCGGAACAAGACTGTGAGTTCTAACAGCCTCAGGAGCATTGTCATCAGCATCTCCGTCATCAGCGCAATCATCGGGATCATCGTCATTGTCATCATCAGTAGCAGCACCACCATCCATCCACTAGTCATAATAACCCGAACCACGACACCGTTCATAACATCAACAATCAGAATCACTCCCCGATGGTAGCAGTGCAAAGTCGGGAGCATGCACAACTTGCAATCGAGAGTGCATCTTGACGGGAATCATAGTCCAGACTCCCAGAAGCAAGAAGAACGAAGCGACCCACCCCCGAGACATGTTTGAGCCCTTTCGCACGGCTGGTCTGAGCAGTTTCATGGATGACCGAAAGGAGTGCTTACCTTCAACCGAAACCCAATCTTTAGATTCTGAAAAGCGAGTTTGTGGCTGTGGTTTCAAGCGACAGGAGCTACCGCTTCAGCTCGCTCGTCCGCAGGCGAGCAGTGCCTTACAGGGCATAAGGTTCACAACTCATAACCTATAGGGATCAGACGGGTCACAATGGCAGAAGTGTGGTGTGAAAGAGGCCACGGGTTTCCGCAACTGCTCAGTGCAAGCCAATCAGCCCTCTATGCTGATCCCAGCACCTCTCCGCTTCCAATCCGTGACTCTACGGCCAAAGCTTGAAATGGGAGTTTCCGAATGTTAGGGGTACCTTATTTTGGGGTCCTTATAATAAGGATCCTACTATTTAGGGTGCTATATTAGGGTCCCCTAGTTTCGGAAACTCCCAAATCTGGCTGGGGACCACCATCTTCTGCCCAGCAGTTTAGGCTTGGGGAAACCGTATTAAGGATTTGGGTTTTGGGTTTTACGGTTGGGATTTTGGGCTGAGGAATAGCGGGGGTTTATGGGGGTAGGTTTTACGGAATTTTGGGTTGAGGAACAACGGGATTTCGATCTTAAGGTTATGACTAGGATTTGGGATTTTGGATTTCAGGAATTTTGGGGTCTATTTTTTTGGGGCGCCGAGTTGGCGGAATGGTTCCATAGATTTGTGGCGCAAGGTGTCCCGTAAGTCCGTGCCCCTTGCAGCGCGTCGGCACATGGCGAGGGGCAAACACTGGCCGGGGCAGCTGGTAGGGTCCAGGGTTTAGGGTTTAGGGCTTTTGGTTTAGGGTTTAGATTCGCCACCGCCTTCGTTTTGGTGCCAGTGTGCACGACTTGGACGAGGACTTGGCTCCCGGTGTGTTCTTCAGACAGGCGCAAAGTGCGCATTGTGGAACATGCAGCGGAGCTGGTTAGTCGGAGTCACACACGAGCTCACTGGGGAGTTTCAGCGTTTTGGGACAGGCTTGGCACAGCCCTAAACCCTAAACTTGGCCCTAAACTTTAAATTCTAAACCCAAACGCTAAACCGCTGGGTTGGCTGTCTCGCTGACTTGAGTGAAGACGGTGATGCATCGATCACAGCGCTCGCGCCAGGATTCAGTGTGCACCACGGCGTTGTGCTACAAAGTCGTCCCAGGAAGGCCTTTGAACAACTAGGATGCCAAGTAGTACCCTCAATTATTCCCTTTTCGTAGTCCTAGGTTCCTTATAAAGTTAGAGCACTCTTTTGTCCAAGGTTACTGGCCATCCTAGACAAAGAACACACCTGAAGCCTTACTAGACCCTAGGCTCCATAATGAAATCGAAGCTACAGATGTCCTCGTTTTGTCCCAAGGCAAGTCTGCTAATTACACTGGGGCTCTATCGTAAACGGCCATCAGAGGCTTCACAGAACTCTCAAAACAAGCTTAAATATGAGCATAAATCTATTTCAAGAACGGGATCCTATTCCAATTTCAGTAATGTAGGGGCCTGAATATTTAGACGAGGGTTTGGGGGTAATTTCTACTATTATTATAATGAGGAACGACCAAAACCCTATTCTAATTATCAAGGCCCCTACATTAAGGTGCCGCGGTGACCTGTACACTCCCGAACCACACCCTAAAAATGCCTAAGCCCAACCCAGACTGCAAAACCCTTACCATAGACCAAGAGCACTTACAAGAGCTTCTTATACATGAAGTTTTAAACTCTACGTCTCGTCCCCCTCATCATAGAATCATACAATCCCGTACCCACAGGCCCCAAATTCAAAGTAGTTCCTTTTTGTGGTTCATATATAGAATCCTATAAAGTAATCCCAAAAAGGGACTACTTTGGGGCCTATGGGTAAACCCTAAGAGGCTGCCAAAAGCCTGCGGGAGAGACTTCTCACGGAGCTGCGGGAGCAGGCGAGGTGAGAGAATTTAGTAGAAGGTTCCCTTTGTAGGGTCTACTTGGTGGATCATGGGACTTCGTAAGTCAGGCTATAAGTGCCTTAATTGGGGTTGTAAGTAATTATAAGTTTCCCTTTGTTCAAGAGTTGGGTTGTGGGTTTAGGGAAGAATTACAGCTTAAGGGGTTGGGTTAAGGCGTTCTAGATTTTCGGGTTTGGGGCTTCGGGCTTTTTGGAGGTGGGGCCTCGGGCCAAGATAAGGGAACTTGTGAGGCGAGATGGTTTGAGGCCGGCTCACCCTGGAGTTTCTCTCAATTTCCGGGTTCGGGGTTTGGGGTGTGGCCAGCATGCAATCGAAATACAGACAGATCAAGGTCATGCAATGCCGCAGAAAACTTTCGGGCGCTCTAAGCAGTAGACACCAAGTCTAAATCCTTACAGCAACTAGACCCTTATCCCAAACCCCTAAGCCCCTGAACCCAAGCCCTAACTAAAGCCTGAACTTCTCTAAATTAGAGTCCGTGTCTAGCTCACCAGAATAGTACGATCTGCTTACAAACGGGATCCTAAAAGGGATGCTACCTTAGAGAACTACCCTAAATCCTAGAGCCAACCGGGTGACTGCCTCGAGGCCACTGGCTTCTATACATAGGGTTTTGGTTTTTAGGGTTTTATTGTTTAGGGTTTTGGGCTTTGGATTTTTGGGTTTAGGGTTTAGGTTTCCAGAGCTCTCTTGCCATCCAGGAAAACTGAAACTAAACGAGGCCAGCCATCAGGCTCGACATGCATAGGCACCAAACTCCAATGTGTTTCAAACCTCAAGCCCCTCGAACCCTCCAAGCCTTAAATCCCTAAAAGCCCCAACACCCAAAACACATTGCAACAGACCCAAACAACCCTCAAACAATCCCGCAAGCAAATCCTGCAAGGCTGTCAAGAATTGCCCTCGGAAACCGTATGACATGACCTTTCACCAAGAACACTTTAGAATCCTAGAGCCCCTAACAGCCCTAAAAGCATCTAAAAACCCTTAAACAACCTGCTCAAACCGCTCCCACCCTAAACCCTGCAACCATAAACCTGAACCCGAAAACCCTAACCTAGTAGTAGAGTAGGTAACCTTTAACCTTTGTTGAGTAGTATCGTCCCTGTATAAGCCCTGTATAACCGAAAAGGTTAACCTGTAGTTCCCCATGATACCCGACAAGTAGGCTAAATCCTCAACTCCCTGGTGCTTAGTAGGGAATGCGGGAATGGATCCCTGCAGTAGTCCCTATAAAATACCCCCATAACCCATTCCCCCATTCCCTACTAAGAACCAGACAGTCAACGAAGAACCCTAAACCTCTATAGTATAACGTTTTAGTAACCCTTATAGTAACCCTGAAAGGAACCCTTAACGGAACCCTTAAAGGAACTGTTAAAGGAACCCTTTAAGGAACAATTTTGTCAGGACGGAAAGGAGCGCTTGGATCGACACCTCTCAGTGCAGTGGGAGCACTCTCTCGTGTGCGGCACCTGAGTTTAGGCTGTAGGGCTTCAGGGTTTTGGGGTTTAGGGCGTTAGGGTTTAGTTCAGTATTGGGGTAGTAGGGTCTGGGATGTTAGGGTTTGTTCCTTTTTGTGTTTCATATTTAGAATTCTAGAAGGTAATCCCAAGAAGGAACTACTATGGGGCCTATGGGTAGAGTTCAGGGTGTAGAGTGTATATAGGGTTTAGCGTTGAGAGCTTGGGGCACAAACGGGTGTAGTGTTCAGGGATTACGCGAATTGTATCTCTCTGTATTCTGAAATATACTGCTTGGGACACTTTCGAACGCCCGCTGCCGCGACTGTTACCACTGCCGGTCACTACTGTGGCGGTCACTACTTCTACCACTCCCACTACCACTCTACACGACGACTGCTACACCTGCCACTACATCCAACCACCAGCATTTCGACCACCACGACCACCACGACGACGACGACTACTACTACTACTACTTCTTCTACTACTACTATCACTACTAAATCTTCTACTACTAATTCTACTACTAATACTACTACCACTACTCCTTCTCCTACTACTACTACTACTACTACTACTACTACTACTACTACTACTACTACTACTACTACTTCTACTACTACTGCTACTACTGCTGCTACTACTGCTACTACTACTACTACTACTACTACTACTACTACTACTACTACTACTACTACTACTGGTGCTGCTTCGGTGACCATCCCCACCACCACCACCACCACCACCACCACCAACCCAACCACCACCCGTCGTCAGTCTGCTAGGTCTTGCACAAACTCAAACCTTAGTCAGTTTTCTTACAAGGCCTTAAACCCGAAACCCTACAACATTAAGCCTTAGACCCTAAACCCTTAATAACTTAAACCATAAAGCCATACATCCTGAAACCCTGATACCCGGAAACCTCAAGCCCTAAAGCCTTAAACCCTAAAGCCGTGAGTCCTTGAAGCCTTAAGCCTCAAACCCTGAAACCCCACAGCCCCAAATCCTTAAACCCTAAGCCTTAAACCCTTAGGCTCTCAGACCCTAAAGCCTTCAATCTTCAATCCCTAAAGCCCTGAATCCCCAATCCCTAAAGCCTTACAGCAATCAAACCCCTAAAGCCCTGAATGCTCAACGCCTGAAGCTAAATCCTAGGATGCGCAGTAGTACCCCCTAGTCCCTTTTGGAGTCGTAGGTTCCTTATAAAGTTACCCAAGACCGAAAAGGGAGCCCTTAAGCTCTTTCTTCCTTTCGATTACTGGGCATCTTAGTATAGCCTCTTTTGAATCGAGGTGGGAGTTTCCGAAAATTAGGCGAAACCTTATTTTGGGGTCCTTAAAATATGGATCCTACTATTTAGGGTATTGTGTTTGGGGTACCCTCCTAGAATCCTTAAAGCTCTAAATTCTTAAACCCTCAGCCTTAAACCCCTAAAGCCCAACAGCCCTGAATCTTCAATTCTTAAAGTTTACCCTAAAGCCCCGAATCCTTAAAGCCTTAAACCCTAAAACAGTAAGGATCCTACTATTTAGGGTACTGTATTTGGGGTCCCCTTCCAGAATCCTTAAAGCTTCGTTTCACAGCTCGGCGTGTGAGGTTCGACGACTGCCCCCCGCTCCTTGGATTCACGTCGTACCAGGCCGGACCAAGTTTACTTGGAGGTTCAGGGGTAGTTATAAGGGTTCCTTTAAGGGTCCCTAAAACCCACCCTAAACCCTAAATGAGGCCTCCAAGAAAAGTTGGGTTCAGGGCGATTTCGACTTTAGAGCTTTGCGGTTTCAGGGTTTAGGGCTTGGACTTTAGGCTCTAGGACCTTAGGGTTTTAGCGTCTAGGGTTTGGGACTTTAGGGTTTGGGCTTGTAGGGTTTTCAGGTTCAGGACTTTAGGATTTTTAGGGTCTTATTAAAGGGTTTTAGGGTTTAGGGTTAGGAACTTTCTTATTAGTAGAGTAACCCTGTCGTGAGGTACTAGAAGACCTGTGTAATCCCCAAGGTTGAGCCTTTAGCTCCACCGGGATACTTCGCAAGTACATGTCTGGGAATTTCCGAAAATAGGGGACCCTAATATAGTACCCTGAATAACAGGACGCTTGTTATAAGGACACCAAAATAAGGTACCCCGAACTGTCGGAAACCCCTATATGTACCCCCTGAGCTCTAAACTGCAACCGCCGAAGCCTACTCGTTGTGATGGGTCTCGATAGGGTTTTAGAGGCTTTCCGCGTTTCTTGCCACGGAGTGCAAATGAGGTGCTCACCTCCCATGCAATAGGGATATATACAGGATAGTACCGCTTCAGTGTTCTCGTGACTCGGGTTAAGTTCTGTTACCAGGACCCAGTCGGCTTAGGATCCTCATTCTTTCTCTCTTTACTCTCTCTACTTTTTGCTTGACAAGATTCACGGGGGCTCCTGGACGACGACAGTTTGCAGTTTGGAGAGCTATGCTGGAGAGTCCCGGGACGTGTACAGAGCCTCTATGTATCCTAAACCGGATCCTAAGTATTACGGTTATATGGTTACTGCAGCCCAAAAAGATAATCGCATCCTAGACGATCTCGGGGTATGAAACTGCTAGCAACCGCTACAACACCCGGATAAGTCTCTTGCAGAGGCGTCCTCTCCATGGAGCAGTGGCCATTTCGTTGGGGCTCCGAAAAAGCCCCGTCAACTCAAAGCCCCATTCCAATCTAAAATGACCCTGGATCCCACAACTCTAACCCGTTTACGAGAAGGCTTCCCGACGTCAAGGCATTAAGCCCTGTTATACTTGGAGGTTCGTGGGTAGTTGTAAGTGGGGCTTTTACTCCCCTACTGTGGGTTATGTTTATGGTTGCGCTACTACAAACCCTACTTGAAGGATCATGAGACCTAGTAACTAGGGTTATAATTATATAAGGTAAGTATACTTATAACTACTTAAAGCCCCAAGTAAGTTACTTATAACCTAACTTACTACAGTGAGTCCCATAATCCTCCAAGTACTTGTAACTACCCATGAACCCTAATCGGCCCCTATCCCTAAACCTTATAACCCTATAGATCCCTTTAAATGAACCCTACTTCTAACCCTACCTATAACTACCCATGAACCTGCAAGTAGACGCGAGCCCCTAAACCCTAAACCCTATGTAAGCAATTTTGTAGACACGAGAAAACACCGAGCCTAGCTGACAGGATGCTCTATGTCTCCTCCGCTGCCCTGCGCTCAAGGCAGCTGAAATTGGTGTAAATCCGCGACAGCTGGCGGTATCAGGGTTTAGGGTTTAGGGTTCAGGGTTTTGGCTCGGGTTGGGGCTTTGGAGTTTACCCATAGGCCCCATAGTAGCTCCTTTTTGGGATTATAGAATTCTATATATGAGCCACGAAAAAGGAACTACTTTGGGGCCGATGGGTAGTGGCATGTTTTGGGTTCGGTGTCTGTTTCGTCGGGTCTCGGAGTCAAGTCCTCGTCAGGCCTCCACTTGAAGCACAATCTCTAAACGGAAGACAGAAAGGGTGGTTGTCAGAATCAGGGCCCCTTTTTGGCTACCGCATATTTCGGTGCCGTAGTATAATAGGGACCCAAAAAGGGACCATAATTTCGACAACCACGCAAAGAAGGAAGTGAGTGATGCCAACACGGTTTAGGGTTTAGGGTTACAGTGAGGTTGAGGGTTTGAGAAGTGCGAGGCTCGACCCTACTTAGAGGATCAGGGGACTTAGTAAGTTAGGTTATAATTAAGGTTCCTTAGGGATCTATACAGTTCCTTAAAGGGATCTATAGGGTTTAGGGATTAGGGTCTACTTGGGAGGATCAGGGGACTTAGTAGGTTTGGCTATAAGTACCTTTTAATTGGGTTATAAGTAGTTATAAGTATGGTTACCCTAGTTACTAAGTCCCATGATCCTTCAAGTACACGCTAAGCCCTGAACCGCGTAGCTCGATCCTTTGCCGTGAGATCGCCCATTCATTGCAATCATTGTTTCCAGAACTTGCAAGCTCTATGCACACCCGATGCCCTCAACCCCAAATGTTCATCCCTAAACCCGACACCCTCATACATGATGTGCAGCCTGGAAACCTTTTGTTCTTGACCCGGAACATTAACACTTTCAGAATATGTAATCCATTAGCCCTCTAAGCCCTAGAGAGTCATAACGGTTAGGATCTGTTGCATAGACAAGTTGGCACATACTCTGAGTAGGGCATGAGTCTAGAGGTAGACCCTATTCACACGTGCTGCCAGAACCCCCCATGACCCCAAGCTCGTAAAAACTCTAGGCAGGTTCGCCCTTGAACCGCGAAATAAGCACATAAGGGCCTCAGCGATGAAACCGTACCGTGTGAGGGGACTTAAAAGTCAACATATGCCAAAAGAACATATGGGTGGTTGTCAAAATTCTGGTTATGAAGGTACCCTAAAGATTAGGTGCTTTATAATAATAGGGACCCAAAAAGGGACCCTAACTTGTCAACCACCCATATAACTAATATCGATACCCTTGTGGGTTCCTGAGGGACCCTTCCGTAAAGGATCCCGTTAAAGGAACCCCTTAGAGGAATCCTCAAAAGATCCTTTCAGCAAGTAACAAAGGGTGAACCCCAGAAAGTTGGAACTTTGATTTAGGATGATTAGTGCTAGAATCCCCTCTACTTTACCTTAAGGGCATGGGGATAATCATGCTCCAACTTTCCGGCTTCTAGTGTAACACCTGGCCGAAAGGACTTGAGATTGGTACTGGCCTGGAGCGAAAAGCCTGAAGAGGCGGATGGGGAGAAAGGACCGGAGCAGGCAACTGGTGCTTCACGGTTTAGGGCCCTTATGGGATTTCGGTTTAGGGTTTAGGGGCTTCTGGGGATTCCACAGGGTGTTTGAAGAGTTTTTGGAGGGTGTGGCTGAGGTTTCTCATGGTCTTTCATGGGGTCTCTCACGGTGTGTGAGGGTTTCATGGGGTTGCATTTGGGAGTTTGCGAGGTGCGTGGGCTTCGCGTTTAGGGTGCGAGGGCCGGGAGGAGTGAGAGGGCTTCAGGAAAGGGTCCTGAAGGGTTTAAGAGTTTAGGGTGTAGGGGTTTAGGGTTTAGGGTGTAGGCTTCAGGACTTCAGGGTTTGTAGGGTGTCGGGTTTCAGGGTTCATCACTGTTCAGCAGGAGCCCCCAGTACCCTCAATAGCTTCAGATGTGTCCGGGGTGTTTCCGAAGCTTCAAATCCAGAAGCTTCGAAGCTTCGGACGCTTGACAAGTTCAAGTGACCCAAACCCTAGCCCAGACACCCTTGAAACCTGGAAAGTTCGAAAGGTAGCCGAGTTCCGAGGTTTGGGATGTCAAGATGCGCAAGTAGGTCTTCCTGTGAAAAAGTTCCCTAAACTGGGTTTGGGGCTTTTGTGATGTCTAGGGTGCATCGTAAGCTAAACAACTGTCGATCTCAATGTGGTCCATCGAAATGTGTGGGTCACCAGAAGTGCTTCAAGAAACTTCCAAGGTTGGAAGCTCGAGCCTTCAAGCCCTAAATGGGAGTTTCCGAAAGCAGGGACCCTAATATAGTACCCTAAATAGTAGGATCCGCATTTATAAGGAGCCCCAAGATAAGGTATCCCTAGATTTACGAAACTCCCAAATCGTCAGAGTCCTAAAGTCCCACAGCCCAAGCTCTAGTCCCGAGGTCGGAAGTATAGTTCCACAATGCTTAAATGTATCCCCTGGTAGTCCTTGTGTTTAGGGTATAGGGTTTAGAGGCCCCGATCTATTTTCAGCCCCAAAGCTCAACCCATCGCACACTCTTGCTCTCTGGACGGGGTGTGTTTCAAACACCGCTTTTTCTCAGTATGTTGAGCGTTTGTCGGGCTCCTTCAGATGACGAGTCTCTGTTTGGAGTGTGTCCTCTAAGAAATCCCAAAACCATGAACCCGAACCCCTAAACCCTAAACCCTAAACTGCCCTAAACCCTGAACCCGAAACCCTATTCTCGTAATTAAGCCTTGACCTCACATTTTTGGGGACACCCTTTCGCGAGTCTAGGTCTGTAGTTTCGGCCGGGGGCGTCTCAGATTTTGTACCTGGGCTTGGGTTTTGAGTCCCAACATGTGGCGTGGTGGCAGGCACCGGCTGCGACGCCGTCGCAGCCGAGATGGAAGACCATCCCGCCTAGGGAAGATCGCGGCCCGTCGTCATTAAGGTAACGGTTTAGGTTTCGAGTTTGCGGCTCAGGGTTTCGGGGATTTAAATTCGGAGCTTGCCGCATTTTGGTTCGAGGATCTCACCATCAATGCTATTCGGGCAGCCGCTGCTCCGTGCAGTTGGGGCGTCCTAATGCTCAGGAACTTGAAGAATTCTGTAATCATCAGTCATGGGTCACTCATGAGTCTACATGACTCAAAACATGAAGCCTCCAACGCAAGCAGGCAACCCTAAATGAGACCTAAACCCTAAACCCTAAAGGAGACCCTAAATGAGCCCTAAACCCTAAACCCTAACTAAAACGAGCCCGAGAACCTTTAGGATTCCACTGTTTTCAAAACCTGATTTGGCAAGTGCTCTCGTAAGACTGGTCGGGTAATAGGCTGTGGTTAGTGGGGAATGGAGGAATGGGGTACAATTCTAACTACTATTACTGCCATTCTTCCACTCCCTACTAACCAAAGGTGAGTCGTTTAGGCTTTGAGTGAATTTATTGCGTAGGGCTTCAAAAGTGAAGGCGGTTGAGGGTGCCAGGGTCAAATACTTAAGGGCTCAAAGTCTCAATGGATATGCTGCAACTATGTAGGCATACTTCCAGTCAGGGTAGACTTGATAAACCCAACTGTAGCCGGCTAACTAAGTTCCATGATCCTTGAAAAAGTAGTCCTTCGGCACCACCAAAACTTGCATTCTCCACGGATCGACAGCCAAGCAGAAACCCCAAACCCCAATTGACCGCAAGCTCTATATGAGCACCTACCCATAGGCCCCATAGTAGTTCATTTATTTTTGGGATTACCTTATAGCCTTCTAACTATGAACCCCCAAAGGGAACTACTATGGGGCCTCTGGGTAGAGTGCTCTTTGGCGCTCGCGTGGATGCAGCGAAAACATCCACAGAAGTGACAATTGCTGCGAGACGCGCGCAAAGCTCTCCATCATGCTACGGCACAAAAGCTCGACACGGCTGAAAGACTATCGAAATGCTTGTCTTCCCGAAAGCTTAAACCCTAAACCCCAAACTCTAAACCTTAAGCCCCAGGCCTTAAGCCATAAAACCGTCTTGAACACTCTGCCCGTGAGTGTTTGAACTGAGCCGCCCCCAAAGAGTCGCAGCTTGTCGTGACTCCCTAACTAGGACCCACCAGAGTAGGCCCTTATTCCCCTTTTCGGGTTCAGGTTCCCTTAGAACCCCCTTTAAACCAACAGGGTCAGCCGTTTTATTCCTAGGTTACTCTTAGGTCTAGCTAAAGTCCTAGAATTCTAAAAGAACTGCTAAGGATCCCCTGTTACCTTTCGCTTCCTGCGATACAGGACCCTTATAGAACCCTCCCAGAGACTCCGATATCCCTTAATCAAGGAATATTCCTTAAATCAAAAATTAGGGATCCGAAAATAGTTCAAGGAATATTCCTTAATCAAGGGATATTGGAGTCTCTGGGCCCTTTCCTGAAGCCACAACCCTAAACCCTAAACCCTAAACCTTAAACCCTAAACAGTTAAAACCCTTCAAGACCACCCTCTTCTGGATCAAGGTATGCCCAAGCATATCCCACCGCGGGAGCGGTCGAGGCTTCCTGGTCGTTGAGGGAGGGCCCAGCACTTGGAGGATCAGGGGACTTAGTAAGTTAGGTTATAATTAAGGTTCCTTAAAGGGATCTATAGGGTTCCTTAAAGTAAAGGGATCTATGGGGTTTAGGGATTAGGGTCTACTTGGGAGGATCAGGGCACTTAGTAAGTTAAGTTATAAGTACCTTGATTGGGGTTATAAGTAGTTATCAGTATGGTTACCTTAATTACAACCCTAGTTACTAAGTCCCATGATCCTTCAAGCAGCTGTACGGGTGGTTGTCAAAATTCAGGTCCCTTTCTGGGGTACCCTAAATAATAGGTGCGGTATTATAATAGGGACCCCAAATGGGACTATAATTTCGACAACCACCCATATGGGAGTCTCCAAGAGTTAGGGGTCCTGTAGTCAGGATCCTACTAGTCAGGGTACTATGTTAGGGTCCCCTATTTTCGGAAACTCCTATATGGTTGCTTTGGGTCTTAGGGTTTCGGGCTTCGGGTTTCCGAGAGAAGGTCTCCAAATGTCAAAATGGAGATGTTCTCTCTTGGGTAACGCATGTGTGCGGGTGTATATTGTGAGGGCTTCCTGGGCTTGCAGGATTTTCGGGTCACGCTTTCGGGTTTGGGGTTTAGCGTTTAGGGTTTTAGGTTTCGGGCCTTGGGGTTCGATTCAAGGCCCACCTTCGACTGTCTGTCCGAAGCATCACACGGACAGAAGGCTCCTGACTCTGAACACTCGGGGTGAGGATGGCGGACCTGAGGGGTTTCGGGGTTTAGGGTTTAGGGGGTTTAGGGGTTTAGGGTTAAGGGTTAGGGTTTGGGGTTTGGGGTCTAGGGTTTGCTCCGAAGGACTCCAACAAAGTTCGCGAAAGGCGCGGATGATGTACCCATCGGCCCCACAGTAGTTCCTTTTCTGGGGTTCAGATGTAGTACCCTATAAGGTAATCCCAAAAGGAACTACTATGGGGCCTATGGGTAGAAGCTTCGACACATTTGACCATCATGTACTCTGTGACAACAGCCGCAGTCGGTTATGGTCACACACCGTAGGGATCTAAGGTCCCATATATTAAGGCCTTTGGGCCCAAAGACCATACTATGTAAGGCGTTTGGCCATTTTGATGCTTAGGGATGATTTAATTCGCGCAGAGTTTCAAACATGTGAATGACACAGCTGCTTGGACGGCATAATCATCGCGAACAACAGCCCCGAGGAACAGCAACTAACATCATCGCCATCAATACACCTGACAATGGCAAAGTAAATGCGCGCACTGGCAGCACTGATGTTGAAGAGCGAAGCCTACTACTACTACTACTACTACTACTACTACTACTACTACCACCACTAGTACTACTACTACTACTACTACTACTACTACTACTACTACTACTACTACTACTACTACTACTACTACTACTACTACTACTACTACTACTACTACCTCCTGTTGCAAAAGATGATCATCGTGCTACTAACTCCTGCAACTCTACGCGCGGAGACCGCGCGAAGTTTGAGCCCCACCAGCCGCAGTTTCGTCAAGACCTAAACCCCAAAGGAGGGGGTTGAGGGTTTAGGGTTTAGGGGTTTAGGGTTTAGGGTTTAGGGTTTAGAGTTTAGGGTTTAGGGTTTAGGGTTTAGGGTTTAGGGGTTTAGGGTTTAGGGTTTCTGAAAACCCGGTACCGAACGTCCCACTTGGTTGCACGGTTGCTAGCCTACTAGATCGTTTGCAGCTTTATCCAGCCTTCCAATACCCCGCCCTTCGCATACCTTGCAACACCCTGCTAAAGCTGCCCGAAACCCCAAGCCCGAAGCCTTGATCCAACCTGATATAAGACTCTACATGGGTAGTTGTCAAAATTCTAGCCCCCTTTTTTGGGGTACCCTAAATATAGGTGCCGTATTATATTAGGGACCCAAAAAGGGACCCTAATTTTGACAACCACCCATATGTCTCCATCCATAGCAGGTCGAGAGACCGACAGCCGCGCTCTCAGTTTGAATGGGCGTGGGGCGGTCTTAAGTAGAAATTATTTCCTCAGGGGTCCGCGGATTGTGGTTCCTACTAAGTTCATCAACTGAGGGTTTATACCTGATTTTCCGGGACTTGTGGGTAAGGTGTGTGGTGCAAGTGTCGAGGGAGATTTGCATAGGTGTTTGGAGGCTCTTGGGTTTAAGGAGGATGGGGTGACAGTCACAAGCTAACTTAATGTAGAATCAGGGTGAAGGACTTGGGAAGCACCACCGAAGCTGCAGGGAGTGACGAGCCTGCGAAGAGCCACAAAAGAGTGGCATGCGGAAGTTGCCCACTACCTTGGCCTCAGACCAAACAGGGAATTCCCGAAAATTAGGGGTGCCTTGTTTTGGGGTCCTTATAATAAGGATCCTACTATTTAGGGTACTACATAAGGGTCCCCTATTTTCGGAAACTCCCAACAGGAGGGGATTGATGGAGACACGGGTTCAAGGAGCGAGAACTGAGTCTTCCTGGAAATGGTCTTTACACCACTAATATGGGGCCTGAATAAGTACCTATACTATTTTAGGGGTTCCCTAGTGTTGTTGTAGTATAATATATCCCAAAACCCTACTCCAATTATTAAGGCCTCTATGGCACTCCACCACCTTGCCTGAATCACGACCAGGTTGCATGCAGTGAGCGTGATGGTTTTGTGGGTAGACCGTGCGACCTTCGGGTTACAGTAAGTGTTCGAATGCGGCCCCTGACAAAGGTTTCGGTTGAGTTGACTGGGATGCCCAGTAGTACCCTTATTCCCTTGTTGTAGTCCTAGGTTCCCTGTAAAGTTACCCAGTCCCAAAACGGGAGCCCATTTTATTCCTAGGTTACTGGGCATCCTAGTTGAAGGGCTTCGGATGTTAAGGTATGAAGACCCATCCAGCGAGGCTATGCATATGGGCGGTATGGCCATGCCCATGCATTCCCGCTACTCGTTACATGAACCCTGATCCCAGCGGCGGACCATACTCCGTAGCTGAGTAGGTAACCTTTAGCCTTCTGGGGCTTAGATACTCCTACCAAAATTGACAACATTAAGATCGGGTGCTCGGCCCTATAAGCATAAGTACTTTGCTTCAAAACCTGCGAGGTTTTCGGTCGGATACCCCCAACTACATTTAGGCAAGAAGGCCTTCACCAAGGATCTTCTTTAGGGTTTCGGGTTTAGAGTTCAGGGTTTAGGAATTTAGGGTTCAGGGTTTAAGGAGTTTAGGGTTTAGGGGAATCTTGTGAACAGGGATCAAGGCCCCCGAATGAAAAAGGCAGCGGGTGGTTCATCGGGGGCCTGCATTAAAACCCCCCACAGCCTAGCACCCGGAGCCTCCCCTCCAGTAACGCTCCTAATCGCCCGAACTCCCGAACCCTAAGCCCGCAACCTCAAGCCCCAACAAACCCTAAGTCCAAGGTCTGCAGAGTGCTTCTCCGCCCCAAAAAACTCCCAAACCCTGAAGCCCTGAAGCCTTAAGCCCCAAACCCCTAATTCCCCAAAGTCCGTGGGCCATTCCTCGCAACTTCTAAACTCCCCCTAAACCCTACACCCCAAGGTCTCCGGGCCATTTGTCCCCAAACCCCTGAACCCCACTTGGAGGATCAGGGGACTTAGTAAGTTAGGTTATAATTAAGGTTCCTTAAAGGGATCTATAGGGTTCCTTAAAAGGATTTATGGGGTTTAGGGCTTAGTAAGTTAGGTTAGTAAGTACATTATTTGGGGTCATAAGTACTTACAAGTATGGTTACCTTAATTGTAACCCTAGTTGCTAAGTCCCATGATCCTTCAAGCAAGGTCTCTGGGCTATTTCTCCCAGCCTCCATACAGAGAAGCCGACGATCGGAAAACAAAGGCTGACTATAGGCCGCCCCCCCACTTCTGGTTTGGGGTTAGAATTTAGGTTTTAGGGTTGAACAGAGCTGAAGGTTTTTTTCATAAAGCACTTTCAGTGTCTAAGAGTCCAAAAACAAACAGAACTTGTTGAAAAAGGGTTGAGGTTTGCTCATAAAGGACTTAACAGTGCTTAAAAAGACCGAGCGTCTCGAGAAGGGTTGAGGGTTTTTCTGTCTTTGGAGGAGTTTAGTGGTAGAGGTTTAGGGTGAAGTATATGCCTCCGAGAAATCCTACACCATGAGCCGTAAGCCGAAACCCGAATCAGGGCATTCCTTGCGAAGAGCTTTTTTCGAAAGCCCAATGGAGCTTGAGGGGCTTGGGGTTGCTGTTCTTGGCGGGGTAGGTTGAAGCGTTTCCGATCTCGACTTGCTGTTTTGGGGTCCGGACCGCCTTGTGTTGTTAAAGGGTCAGGGTCTAAAGAAAGCTATTGGGGTGGTTGTCAAAATTATGCTCTTTTTTGGGTTCCTAATACAATGCGGCACCTAGTATTTAGGGTACCCTAGAAAGGGGGCCCGAATTTCGACGATTGAGGCTCTCTAAGCCATGCCTTGGGCAACGGGTTTCCTTGGAGCCTCAGAGGGAGAGGACGACGCCGCACCAGTTAGGATACTTCCAGCCCCAAATACCGGCGAGATTCCGAGTCCCATGATCCCAACCCGATGCTCAAAACCGCTAAACCCCGAACCCTTCAACCCTAAACCCTTCAACCCTGAACCCTAAACCTTAAACTCCGAACCCTTCAACCCTAAACCCTAAAGACCCGTGACCTCAAGCAGAAGCCCCCAACAAGCGCCGGAGGTGATTCTGGCCGTGCGGGGGCATGAAACCCCAACGCAAATTTGTCCGTTCTCCTACACCCTAAACCTACACTCTAGTCACGGTTTAGTGGTTTAGGTTTTCCTAGTAGTAGAGTAGTTAACGTTTAACTTTTTTGGTAGTACAGGCCCTATATAATGCCTATTTAGCCAAGAAGCTTTAGTTCCCCATGATACCCGACAAGTAGATTTTGGGGTCGCATCCTCAAGCCTAAAGCCTAACCTTCAACCCTAATCTGTGGACAGGCACGTTCACACCGACCAGTGGTGGACGAAAGAGTTCCTGTCGATTCCACAAGAGAATCCGAAGGCCGTGCGCTTGCAATTCCGAGATCACTTGTTTGAGGTACCTAGCCCCTAAAACATCCGAAAACACTTGCAAGTCCTAAATCCTATATGAGGGGCCTAGATGATAATCGTATATGCTCTGTTCAGCTTAATAACATGTTTATGAGTGCAGCATGAAACACCCCCCAAAACCCTAGCCTAATTATGAAGGCCCCTAAATTTGGCCGTTTTGGAAGTAAGATCTGGGCAGCTCCTCCGTTGCAGGTCGCCTTTGACAGAGAAGGGGTGTTGGTGGTGCAGGGCTCAGATCGCTTGCTGGGGGCTTTAAGCCCTACTTGGAGGATCAGAGGAATCAGTAAGTTAGGTCATAAGTACCTTTATTGGGGTTATAAGTAGTTATAAGTACGGTTACCTTAATTATAACCTTAGCTACTAAGTCCATTGATCCTTCAAGTAGGCTGGTGCTGTAAGCGGGCCTGCTCCAACAGCTATAGAAGGCACTCGAGATTACACTCAACTTGGCACACTGCACCCTTTAATGCCTGCCAGCCTGCAGCCGACATCCCAACATAGATGGGCTTCAGAGCCCTCAAAGTCTACCTCGTATAGAGGCTCATACCCTACCCCTTTTCAGAGTACCTAGTTCTTTAGTTCCGATCTGTTATATAGAAAAGTAGTTATCCTGAAAAGGGGTCGGGTATGAGCGTCTAGGTAGTCTTCAAATGTATTTTCGGTGAAAAGATACACCTGAGGATGCTCAACGATCTCTATAAAGCGTCGGGAAGATAGCGTTGTTCAGTACCTACGTATGCCTTGCCAGCGTTGATAGGTCTGTTCTTGATTTATACCTCTATCAGTTGCTGACTTTATTTATAGTTGCTGCTCACTTTTTCTACACTTTGGGGTATGCTGAGGTCTACAAGCCTGCCTTCTGGACTGTGACCACCTGCGCGGTCCCGCTTCCTGGTTTCCCCGAGCATCAAAATTGTCCAAAAGCCTTCTGTAGTAGGTTCTTTGGGCCCAAAAGCCTTCATTTTTGAGTCCTTAGAACGCTAGGTTTTGGGGGAGTCTTTTGAAGCCTTGGTTCTGAAACGATGACAGAGAAAGCTGGAAATCTCAGCGCATTCGTTTGCCGTCTTGTAGAAGTATGAACTCTGGTAGCCAGGAAAGTCAGTCAGGATGAGAGAGAGAGAGAGAGAGAGAGAGAGAGAGAGAGAGAGAGAGAGAGAGAGGCAGTGCCAGCGAAGAAGCGACGGACGTTGGAGCCTAAAGAGTTTCCAAAGTTCTGGGTCAGTAGAGGCGTTTAGTTCAGATGCATGGGGGTTTAGTGTTCTCGTTGCGTTGTTGTCGCTGCTGAGAATTTGGGAATAGAAGCCAGGGTCAACATGAATCAGAGAACCCAACCCATAGGCCCCATAGTAACCCATAATTAGTAGTTCCTTTTTGGGATTACCTTAAGGGTTCTAAATATGAACCCCCAAAATGAAAGGAAATACTATGGGGCCTATGGGTAGGGCTCTAGTGGAGGAAGCTCTTAACGTCCGCAGTGGCCGTTGTGTCCAGTTCTACACTCCTACCATGCAGAAGATATCAGAATTCAAGGGACCCCAACAGCCCAGTCCTTCTTCATCCAGCACTATATAGCCTGACTCACGTGCAGGACCGTTCTTTAGGTGCAGGTACGGTCTTTAAGAAACCTACTCCTGTAAAGCCTGTAACCACCTACAACACTTCAATAAAACCCTATCGCAACCGTGTTGAAGAACCCTGAGAAGCCTGCATCCTACAACCGAAACACCAAAACTATAAACTAAACCCAAAAGGTGTTAACGATGCATAACGCTACAATCTCTAAGAACCGCGACGGTCCGAAAACGCCGAGCCTTACCTAGAGCCCTTTGATCCATAAAATACTCTAAGGTTGAGGGTTTAGCATTCAGGGTTTCGGGTTCAGGGAGTCCTTCTGTTCATGGGGTTCCTTTCAAGGGATCTATAGAGGTACCTTTAAGGGGTTCCTTTAAAGGATCTATGGGGGTTTTAGGGTTTAGGGTTCAGGGTTCAGAGTTTAAGGTTTAGGGTGTAGTGTTTAGGGCTCTGCCCCTAAGACTCTGCAGAGCCCTCATAGAAGGCTTTTCAAATGTGAAATATCTTCATACGCTTTTGCACCCCGAACCCTAAAACCCAAACCTACTAACCCGTACTACCGCAAACCCTGAACACTAAGGCTCTATTTGGAGGGTCGGGGGGCTCAGTAAGTAGCTATTTTGTAGAGTTATCAGTAGCCGAACAGGACCCTATAGTTGGGGTTATGATACTTGTAAGTCCATAAATAAAGTAACTACTTACTACTTCCTCCGACCCTTCAAGTATTACCCTGAAAGCCAGGCCCGTGATCGCGTGTCCACGCGCTATGAAGCGCTCCAAGACTGGATCCGCCACAACATGGGATACAGGCGAATCATGATAGAGTTTAGGGTTTAGGGTTTGCGTTCTTGTTAACTAATAAGGAATTTGGTTTTGGGGGTTAGGGAGTTTTAGATACAGGCGAGTCTGGGTTCTTGTTAAGAAGTTTTGTTTAAGTTACCACTATAGGGATCTATAGTAAATAGTATGGTTTCCTCATTATGGTAACTTAAACTGAGACCCTTAACAAGAACCAAGCAGTTTGGGGTTTAGAGCGTTTAGGATTGGGGTTTACGGTTTCGAGTTTAGGGTTTAGGGTTTCTGCTTCAGGGTTTGTGGCCTACCGATAGGCCCCATAGCAGTTCCTCTAGCAGTTCCTTTTTCGGATTGCCTTGTTAAGAGGATTCCAAATATGAACCCCAAAAGGAACTACGTAGGGGTCCATGGTTATGCTCCATAGAATTACGGTTTCGGGTGACATTGGACAAATCCCTGCTTCGAAGCAAGCCCCGCATTTTTAGCCAGCGCCTAAACCCCATATTACACCCGAAATTCTTATAACAAACTCGATGCTTCTAAGCATCTTTGTAAACTATCCTTATAATGAAACTCGATGTTTCTTAGCATCTTTGTAAACTATCCTCATCTTTGTAAACTTCAGAGCAATCGCAAGGAAAAAGCCATGTCTCGCTCCAGGCTGGTATTGAGGTTAGGGCTTGGAGTCTACACCCTAAACCCTAAGGCTCCATGTACTCATATAGTATATACATAAGCCTTGAAGTAATCCCCATATGGGTACTTTAGGAGTCTACCAGCAGCCCCCAAGAGCCCTTGAATAGAGCCCTTATTATGGCCCTTAATAGGGAGTATCTAGGGTATATTAGAGGGTAGTTGGGGGTGTAGGTATACCCTAAACCCTAAATCCCAGACCCTACAAGCTATGAACTCTAAACTCTAAGCCGATGTTGGGGCATGAGGGGGTGGAGGGGAAGCCAGATCGCACTGCAGCTCCAGCAACACACTGGAGCACACATGATCTATAGTCTCGTTAGGAGTTATCTTTAATTTTTGTTCATATAAACCCCAACAGAATATTAAAATATGTTATGTTTATTAATTATGGTTCTAAGGGGGGGTATAGTCTAGTCTGGAACTTCCCCCCCTCGAACTTCTGTAGAATCCTCTTATAGACCTTCAACCCCTGGCCTCAAACCTCGGTTTGGAATCCCGAACGCGCCAACACGGAAAGCCCGAAGCCCCAAACCTTCAGCTAGCCAGACCCCCGGGAGGATCTAGAAAGTAGGGTTTAGGGCTTTAGGGCTTTAGGGGTTTTGGGGTTTAGGGGTTTAGGGTTTAGGGTTTAGGGCTTTAGGGGTTTTGGGGTTTAGGGTTTAGGTTTTAACTTAGGATCTAGGAAGTAGATCCCCTAATTTGGGGCCCTATACTACTAAGGGTACTTTATAGGAACCCCCATTAAGGGATCTACTTTTTGGATCCTCCCCCGGGCGTCTGGGTAGAGGTATCCTTGGCTCTATGCCAACGACAGGGCTGGTCTCATCCATCGACTGGATGCACTCCGGCGCTCGTAAGATTGTGTGTTCGAGGTTCTACCTAGACCCCAAAAGTATGTAGAATAATAGCCTTTTATAGGTTTTGGGCCATTGTTTTACCTACTTTCGGTGGTTTAGGTAAGATTATGTGTTCGCGCTTCTGTTGTTGCCACGCTTTATTAAACCTGGTGTAAGGTTGACATGCCTAAGCAGTTCCGCGCTCTTGAAACTGCCTGTCGAGGTGTTGTGCCTTTCAGCTTCAACGGCGGGGGGGTCCGTAAGTCAGGGATGTTGGTGCAAGATGTGTGCACGCTGCTGGGACCTTGCCAAAGATTTGGTCTAGACCCTAAGCCCAAGAGTCGACTCTACGAAATAGATACTCCGAGCTTGGCTTTTGCCCGCATCTGCATTCCACCCTGACCCCGAATCGACGAACTGATCCGAAGACATGAGCGTGCTGCTGCCCCAACAATTGCAACCCCAATTGCAGCAAGCACATTGTGTGGGCGGGCCCTGCAATTATAGACTGCAGGCGCAGAAGCACATGAGCTTTTCTCTAGTTAAGGGTCCCTCTCAGGTGCCGTGTGAATTTTGGGATCTTTCAGAGGGACCCTAGTTTAGACAACTACCCATGATGCTTTCTTTGAATCCTGAAACCCTTACCTAAAACAGGGGCCTCAATACTAAGCCTGGGGCTAAGGAGTTTAGACTCTTCAGCACCCCCAACTACCCCAAGTTAGAGTCCGAGCTTCTGCACATTTTATGAACGACCCTTCTGGCCTGCATTACATGGTACTCGGTGGTGCCGGTACCCTTTAGGGTTTAGGGTTAAGGGTTTAAGGTTGTGTGTGTGTGTGTGTGTGTGTCTGTCTCTGTGCGCGTGTGTTGAGTTTAAGGGGTTAGGCCCTGGACCCCGAAAGCCAGCAAAAAAGCCAACCCCCAAACTCAAAAGCGTAAGGGCCCTAACACCTGTCGTTTTGCAATGACCGTGAACTTACAGATCAGGTATAACTAATGATATTCCGGAAAAAACGGAACACATAGCTATATTCCCTAAACCCTTAAACCCTAAACCCTAAACCCTAAACCCTTAAACCCTAAACCCTAAGCTATATTCCAAAACAAAAGCATGGAAGTGGGTTCTTCGGGACCTGGAGCCGTTCCTCAGGTTCAGACGAGTGGCCCAATTGTCGTTGCCGGGAGTCCGCGCGCATTCAGATCACTTAAGGAGAGCCTCCATCACCATACCTTCTACAAGGACCTGGCTTTAGGGTTATATAGGATTTGGGGTTTAGGGTTTGGGGGTTTATGATGTATGGGGTTTAAGGCTTTAGGGCTTCACCACCATACCTTCTACAAGGACCGGGTCAAGTCATAATGAAGGACCGTTAGACACGTAGGGGGGAGGGGGGAGGGGCCTTAATACCAAAAGTAAGGACTTGTATAATCAGGAGAATTTAAGGAAGTATAGTCCCCTACCCCCCTCCCCCTACCGCCGTAAGGGTCCCTATGATTAAGGGTTTGAGGGTTTAGGGTGTTGGGTTTGAGGTTTAGGGCTTCAGGAGCTACCAGGACTCGGACATCCCAAGTGCCCTTTAGCATAGCCGTTATGAACCTTAATGGTATGTAGGGAATATTAGAGGGTAGTTGGGGGGTCGAGGAAGGGTTTGAGGGTTTAGGGGTGTAGCCACTAGCGGTTTCGGGTATGAGGGTTTCTGGCTCGGGGGTCTGCTGTATAGGATTTCAGGGTCCACGTCGGACACCGAAATGCACCGGTCAGTTGCAAGTTTCACAATCGTGCCATGGTGCCGCACCCTGGGTCCACAGGGTGTAGGGTTTTGGGTTGTCAAGGGGTCCCCATCAAAACCCCTAAACGCTCAAAGCCCTAGACCCCAAACCCTACAAACCCTTAACCTTAAACCTCTGAAGCCTACATGGCAGGAGTACATCGCGCTGATGCATGGTGCACTGCCCATACGGGAGTGCTGCGGCTCGCCTCATTCAGCTTAAGGTTTAGGTAAAATTTAGGGAATGTAGGGTTTAGGGTTTAGGGAATTTCGAGGTTTAGGGGTTCAGCTTTCCCAAATGACCCATGTGTGATAAGATTGGTGCTCGGGTTTTGTGGGCGTGCATGATACTGGGCCTCTTTCCGACAACCGGTGAAAGGCATCATCCAGTAATTAAGCCATCTGACTGAAGATCTGGAACTGTTGCACTGCCCAGCCGCCTAGCCCTCAATATTAAACCGTCTCTAAACTCTTACAACACCTCGAATCGAAAACCTTGATCAACGTTCGCAGGGTCTGGAGTTCATTTAGAGTCCAGGGTGTGGGTTTCTAGGTTTAGGGCTCCAGCCCAGAGATCCCAATACCCCTTAATTAAGGAATATACCTTAATATTATGATTTAAGGTATATTCCTTAAGTAAGGGTATTAGGAGATCTCAAGGAGGTTTTGGGGGTTTCGGAAACTGTAAGCTCCCAAGCAAGGCGCTGTCCTGACAGCACTGCAGAGACTTCGGTCTACACGCGCTGTGAGGGGCCTGAACGCCCACCCGTTGAGGACGTACTTTTGGAGACGGTTTTCCGTCCACACGTGTGTGAGTTGCCCTTGGGCTTGCTCACATCCATTCCGTAGCTGTGCTGCGGCACTCTGTGAGTCTGAGCCAGATTCACCGTTCACAGGTGAGGGTGCCGAGTGGGAGGTGGCGGATGAGCCTGTCCCGACGCTTGGGAAGTATGTCGGGGTCGTCCATGGCTATATACGGTCAGACGATCGGTTTGTCTATTCGTCTGACGGTCCACCGGCACACTTGTACTGTAAGAAAGACGGGGACAAGTGCACGTATTCGATCGGTGGCTTCCCCATTAAGGGTGTGATCTTGCCAATAGCACCACGTGATCATGAACGGAAGGGGAGAACTTCTGGAGTGACACCGCACGAAGTTCTGAGGCGCCCTTAATTGCATCGGGTTTTGTGGCCCACTATACTACAAAAATAATAAGGAGCCCCAAGTAATTACTTAGTCCCTTACATTACCTAACTAAGACTGCAAAAACCCTGAACTAGCCTTCTAAATTGAACCCTTTAAAACCGTGAATTGCACTCCCAGCCTCCTACTATCCCTGAGATCTAAAGCCCAAAACTCTGCGAGTGACAGGGAGGTTGAACACAAAACGATCTGCTGAACCCCAAATCCCATACCCTAACCGACCTCAACCCTAAACCCCTAAACCCTACACCCTTCACGCCCCAAACGGCCCTAAACCCTAGACTTAATAAAGAAAGACTACTGCTTCAAAGAGCTTCGATGCTGAAATAATCGTGCTGCACAGGCTGTTCTTGTTAGGGTGTGGGGTTCAGGGCTGTAATATAGGAACCTGGTTAAGCAACGTTGGGTGTTTGTTAGGGTTCCTTTTATGAATCGCAATATGTTGGGGTTATAGGGCCAGGGTCTCTTAATCAGGTTCCTACATGAGGGGTTTTGGAGTGTTGGGGTCAAGGGTTTGTTGCGGAAACGGGACACGCATAAATGGTGGTCTTCCCTTTCGTGTGCTCTTTGGAGACTGCTTACAATGGGTTTCCAAGTTTATGGAGGTTACTCTACTGTGGCCTTTCAAGTCCCCCAATTGACCCCGACTGTTTCGAATTATCACCTCCACTACTTCGGTTGAAGGCCACTTGTAATCCTGAAGCAGGCCGGCATCCCAAATCCTCAGCCTGGCACTATCAAAGGTTGCATGGCTGTCGCGCATCAGCAAAAGAAGCCTAGTCGTCTCCTGATTTATACATGCCCTTAAGAACTTGAGTATGGGCACTTCCGCAAATTAGGGGTACCTCATTTTGGGGCCCTTATCTGGGGCCCTTAGAATAAGGATCCTACTATTTAGGGTACTATACTAGGGTCCCCTGTGTTCGGAAACTCCCATATCAGGATCTCTGCTGGAATCCTCATTAAGGAAAGGGTGGCCTATAAATCAGGCACATATTTTGCACTTTGGGATCCCTCCGGAAGTGTTTGTTCGAGCAGCTTGCAAGGCAGGCCCCCTCCAAGCCGAAACCCCAAACTCTCGCCCAATGCCTTCGACACCCTGGCCATAAGGTTATGAGAAGACCCTTTGGGTGATTTCCTTAACCCTGAATAATCTAACTTTTCAAGGAAATCATAATAAGGACCCTACAAAGGTAGGTTATTCAGGATTAAGGTAGGATTTAGGGTTTAGGGTTCGCGGCCTTGTGGCCTTTGCGCTTTAGGGCTTTGGCATCAGACTGCCTAGAAGGCGCCAGCCTAATGCCCCAAGCCCACATGGGTAGTTGTCAAAATTAGGGTCCCTTTTGGGGTCCCTAATATAGTACGGGCATCTAGTATTTAGGGTACCCAAAAAGGGACCCTAATTTTGACAACCACCCACACGTTCAACATGTGCTTGGACGGATCTTGCGTTTGAAAAGGTGGCGTGATGGACTACCCTCTGCTGACTACGCAGGAAAGAGGCCGGCGACCTTGTTTAGGGTTTAGGGGTTTAGGGTTTAGTTGCAGGTGGTATACAGTAGAAGCCAGAAAGTTGGGAACAGCATTATCCTCATGCCCTTGAGGTAAAACATAGGGATTCCGGTGACGAATCATCCTAAATCCATGTTCCAACTTTCCAGTGTTCACCTTTAGAAGCCGGAAGAACGGCCAAATTCTTAAGGTGCCTCAATACAACCATATATGCGACGAAGTAGCCCCCGATCCTTTCATAGTCAATAATTACCCCTTTTCGCTCCCTTGTAGAACCCTCCAAGCACCCTTCAAAGGAACCCCTTTTTCAACTATTCAGGCCAGCTCATGTTGTAGCTTGGTCTGCTCTTTATTCTGAAGCTTCGCAGAACCAGGGAGCCCAGCCGGTAGATGGAGCCCTTATGGCCCTTCATCGTGGGTATTTGGTGTATATTAGAGGGTAGTTGGGGGGTCTAGATAGGGTTCACGGGTTTAGAGTTTAGGGTTTAGGTGTTTAGGATAGCGGTCTACGGGTCTAGAGTTTACAGCAAAAAGCAGAAAGCAGGCTATGACCGTGTCGCTCAAGGGTACAACCCTCCACGGGTAGAAATGCGAGTTTCCGAACATTAGGGGTACCTTATTTTGGGTCCTTATAATAAGGGTCCTCCTATTTAGGGTACCACATTAGGGTGCCCTGTATTCGGAAACCCCCAAATCCTTAAGCAGAAAGCAGTTGGAGCCTGGTGCTTCCTAGCCCAGACCGCCGGGAGGATCTCGAAAGCAGATCCCCTGCTTGATCCCCCCAATACTACTAAGGGTACTTTATAGGAACCTCCATTAAGGGATCTACTTTGTGGATCCTTTTGGGGGGTCAGGGAGCGCGTCCTACAGCCCAGAAGGCACCCTTATGGAACCCTACGCAAGCCCTTATAGATCCTTGATAACGGGGTTGTAGGTTCTTGGTTTAAATGGGCCCTCAAAACGGAAGACGTCAGGAGAGGAGGATGCCATTTGTGTGGATTGCCTTGTTTCAGCTTTGCAGCATTGCTTAACTCCATGGGGTTTAGGTTGTAGAGCTTTGGGTCTTAGGGTCTTCGGGTTTGAGAGGCTTAGGTATGGGGTTTAGGTTGTAGGACTTGAGTGTTGATTCTTGTTCTTGTTGGTCTTGGTTTGGGGTTGAAAGGTTTTGGGTAGCCCCCCGTGCCCCTAAGCCCAAGTGCGATGCCCTGTGCCCTCAAGCAGAACACAAGAGCTTCAGTGGTTAATCCTTTGCAACACAGCCCTTCAAGGTTCTTGCAAATTGCACGACCCACCCCCTATCGCAAGTAATATTTCAACTCTGAGATTGAACCGATGCACCCTTGCAAAACCTTGCGCGAATCCTTAAGGCACTCCTGAACCCATCTAAACCCTGCACCCCACAACCCTGAACCCGCAACCCTTAAACTAAAGCCCTGTAATCCAAAAGGGTCAAGCACCGCAGCTCTATAACCCGAAAGCAACTGCCTTCGTATGGGTGGTTGTCAAAATCATGGCCCCTTTTGGGGTCCCTATTATAATACGGCCCCTAATATTTAGGGTACCCAAAAAGGGCCCCTAATATTGACAACCACCCGTATAGGCTAACCCTAAACCCTAAACCCTGGCTTCCTCTTGCGCCAGGTGCAGTGGGCTGGCGCACCTGCGTGGATCCACAGGGCGCGGAAGCCATGACGCGCTATGAGGCATCGGTCCCTTCCCCCTAAGGCTCCATGTGACCGTATAGTATGTATTTCAGCTTCAAAGGGTCCCTATATAGGTACTTTAAGGCCAATATATATATATATATATATATACATGGAGCCTTAGGGTCCAGAAAACACTAAAGCGAACTTCCTAGAGTCTAGGACTAAACCTGGGGAGAGAGGTAGGGGTTTGTCTTGAGGCTTTTGGGTGCCAGGTTTAATGCTTCCCGAAACCCTAAACCCCATATCCGAACCCCTAAACCCTAAATAACCCTCAACCCTAAACCCTAAACCATCACCCCTAAACCTAACCACGTTAAAGTTGCGTTTAGGGCTGGGTCCGTCCGGTGGCTATTGTTTTTTGTCAGGTCACCAAGGCCGAATCCCCAATTCCTACTATTTAAGAACTTTGTGTTTTTAATGTGTCATTTTATTGTGTTTCTGTTTTCTCTTTTTGTTGTTCTCATTAGTTAATGCAAAAATCCTTGAAGTAGGGTCTAGGGTTTGGGGCCCCTGCAGCCCACAACCCCGATATGGCCCTACATCCATTCTGCAGCTGGGTTCGGGGTGTGGGATCTACCATATGGGTGGTTGTCAATGTGTCAACATTATGGTCCCTTTTTTGTGTCCTTATTATACTACGGCACCTAATATTTCAGGTACCCAAAAAGGGACCCTAACTTTTGACAACTACCCATACTACCCATACGTTACCTGTTAAACTAGCTGTGATTATATCCTGGACACATCGTTATGAGTCATGGGGGTCTGATGAAACCCTGGGACCCAAATTGCTTAACTGTAGCAATATGTATATACCCTAGTTGCCATAGTCTACCTTCTCCCCAAAAAGCCTCCTTTTTCTAAAACCTAAACCCTAAACCCTGAGCCTACAAGAATGAGCCTAAAGAGAGGTTACTTGGGGTCGAGGTTGGGCCAGGGTTCCAGGGGACCATCAGGCGCCAATACCCTGATGTTTAATATAGTGGCCTAAATATTACCTATGCTATTCTGGGGGGTTCCTTCTTATGATGACGGTATAGGGTTTAGGGTTTAGAGATTAAGGCCCATGTGTTAGGCACTTCTTCCTTCCAAGCTTTGAGGTGCCCGGACACAGCGAACATCTTAGACCCGAAGCTTTAAGTAAGTCCCCCATGCATTAAAAGTCACCACAGGGAGCAGTGAGAATTACTTGAGGGCTCTTCTTCAAATTCCTAGTTGTGTGGGGTCCTACCAACCCCAGCCTGAACACAAAGACCAGGCGATTGCGGCGTACAAGTACTCCGAAGGCCATGGGAAAACGCAGCGGTACACGAACCTTGGCACCGAATACGGTTCGGGGTTTTGGGCTTGGAGGGTTTCGGGCTTTGCTTGGAGGGGCAGGGGACTTAGTAAGTAGGTTATAAGTAGAGTTATAAGTACCCTAAACGGATTTACCCCAACTATAACCCTACTTATAAACGGCTTACTAAGTCCCCTGCCCCTCCAAGTAGGGTTTAGGCAGCTGTGGATGGGGCGGTCTGGGAATCAGTCTGGCGCTTCCAATTGGTGAGCCTTGTGACGGTCACACCAAGTATTATACTGAGGCCACTACCAAATCAATGTTTAGTGGTTTCCTTGCGGTTAGTTTGCAAGCGGATGAGTGATGTAGCTTTTTTCGTTTGTGGTTTCGTAGTGGTTGTTATGAGAGATATCTGTGAGATTGTTATGGAAATTAAACGGGAACCAATCGATGTCCGAGAAATCGGCGAGAAATTTGTGAGAAATTTGCGTATTCCTGTTGAATGCCGGATGAACCAAAGCTAACTTTAAACAGGGGTCAATGGATTTCCCAGAAAACCTATGTGACTCGTGTACTCCAACAATTAATAGTGTGTTTTGTCTCTTTGTTTCTTTCAAACATCGTGCAAATCTTTCTCGGATCTACGGGCTTCAAGGTTTAAGGTTTGGAGAGAATGGGGGAGGCAGATTTTCATGGGGTTCTGTGCTGTTCTACCCAGACCCCCGGGAGGATCTAGAAAGTAGATCCCCTAATTTGGGGCCCTCTACTACTAAGGGTACTTTACAGGAACCCCCATTAAGGGAGCTACTTTTTGGCTCCTCCCGGGGGTCTGGGTATGGGGTTCCGTGTGGTGGTGGGGATCTAAAGGCTTCAAGGTTTAAGGTTTGGAGGAATGGGGGAGGCGGATGTTGGAGGGTTTGGGTTTGGGAGAGGGCTTAGGGTTTAGGGTTGAGGGGTTTAGGGCTTAAGGGTTTATGGGTATAGGGTATAGGGTTTACGGTTCAGCAGCTCTGACTTTGGAAATTTCTTTTCAAGCTTGTCTCAAGACAAAACCCACCCGCCTATAGAATCCCCTCACATATGAAATAGCAGCTTTTTGTCGAGTTTGAATTCATAAAACAATTTTTCCTAAGCCCTAAGGCCCCAAACCGTAGGGCCTTAAACCTCAGGGCCCCCATACAAATCCCTCTCAGATATTCTCGCTAAGATCTCGCAAACCAATGCTTTTGTGGAAAACAGTCCTCACATTCCACTAGGACCCAGACTAGGCCCTTATTCCCATTTTAAGGGTTTAGGTTCCCTTATAACACGTTTAGACCAAAAAGGGCACAGTTTCTATTCCTGCGCCTGGCGGCCACGCGACCAGATTTCGGAACCAGCACCAGCATCTTATGCAAGGTTCTTGCAGACCTGTCATTGTCATCGTCCCTCGAAACAGATGCAATGTGACTCCCGCAGGCTGTAGGTGGAAAGCTTGCTTCAGGTCAAGATTCGGAAGACCCCAGGCAGGTCCTAAACCCCAAACATCCTCTATTATGCCAAACCCCAAATGTGTTCGCAGCTTCAAGGAAATTATGATTTCGATTCCAAGCACCCTGAAATTCAACCTGTGTTTCCGTCTTCGGCAAGTTCATGAAGTCGAAAGGGGTTGGGGCTGCGCTAGTGGGCTGCGCTTTGTTAATCAAAATCTTATCTGCCAGAGGCTGTGATGAGCTATTTTCCTTTAGGGTAGTATCCTCGATTCGTTTGAAAAAAACCACAGATGCTCCTGGTTTCCAAGCATGGCGACGTTCAGGCTCCCAAGAAGATTTGGGCAAGACTGAGGTTAGGTCAGCAGCGGGCCTTGGATCCCAAGCCCTAAACTTAAACTCGAAGCACGACTCCAAACCCGATGCCGTTGCTGTTAACAAGCCTTAGACTCCCATCGCTTGCCGAATATCCGAAGGTCAAACCTGTATCCCCTGCAAGGGTTAGTTACGTTTAGGGTTTAAGGACCGCCCTTTCCCAAACCTTGCTGCGACTTTGGCGACGACTCATTTATCATCCTTAACTTGCAGGTGGTTTAAGTAGTGGAGCACCAAGCCTGTAGCTTGTCCCTGTGCACTTCAAGCCGGCAGCATGTTAGATCCGATGTGACATACTGGCATTTCTTGCAGTGTGACGACGGGGACTGGTTTCGAGAGTGGCCTGTGCATACTGTCGCCCCGACCAGTACGGTCCAGGCAGTAGAATACGGTCATTTGCATCCGATGATCAAACATAAATCTGTCCATCAGGGTCTAGACCATGTCCCATGATCACGCCGTTGACATTTTCGATATTTGATGCTAGATCTTAAGCATCCCTAAACTTGAGATGCTTAAGCCTAAGATTGCGCACCTCAAACTTCAAATGTTACATCTTAAGCTTGAAATTCTGAACGTGAAGCCTACAACCTTTGCGGTCCATGAATCCAGGAGTGTTGGTTGTCGTGTAGGGCTTTGGATGGTATTGGATACTCAGCAAGTTTCGTCTCAGGGTTCAATAGAGGGATTGCACAAAGTATCGTATTTCAAGCCTTGAAACAAGCAAACTCGGCACTTACAGCCCTCAGCACTGGGATGTGGCCGAGTTTAGGATGTGGTTGCCGTAGATTTGGGGTTGAGCTGATTGCCGCTGCAGACGGCAAATAGTGAACTGACTTGTAAGTAAGACCTGCGAAGAAGAGCGTGGGCAGGATTATTTCTTGCCGTTTAGACAGCCTCAGCCCGTAAGCCCGAAATCCACAAGACGGACGGCTGTTTTTTGGGGGCAGGGCAATGAAGACTGCAGGAGAGGTAAAGGTGGGGCCAATATTGGCTCTTGATACATAAACGTTTCCAACAAATTCGAATTGGATTCCTTTAGATCTCACGTTTGAGCACCACCGATTATACCCGCTTTGCCCATACAGTAACCGTGCTTGGAAGCCTTACGGGAGCCCTTCGAGCAACTTTCACAGGAACCATTGCATTATCGGAGTCTTTGAAGGACCCTTGTTGGAATCCTTACAGGAAGCCTTCTGGGAGCCCGCAACAGAACCCTGATAGGAACCTTGACAGCTGCTTCCACAGCTATCTCAAACGTAGCCTTCAGAGAGCAGTTTGCGAGGTTGAGGGTTTAGGGTTCAGGGTTTAGGGTTTATGCGTGATCCTAAAGTCTAGAACTCAAAACCCGAAAGCCGTAAACCCTAAGCCCAGAAAAATACCACCAAAATCTTTTCCCTTGAAACTCATTCCAATCCTTTCGCATGCTTTCCCCAAGTCCTAGGGCTTGAACCCGCGAGGCTGGCCCATAATATGGGGGCCTCAATGATTACCTATACTATTTTGGTGGTTCCTTATTTTATTTCCAGTATGATGGGCACCAAAACCCTATTCTTAATTATTATATGAATTATTAAGGCCCTTACATTAAGCCCCAAGCCGAAATCTTTCCGTCCGCAACACTACACCCTGCATAAGTCCTTAGCCCTTTTCGTCACCCAAACAGACCTACAGCCATAGGCTTCTTGTTCTGCAGCCGCCATATAACCGAATTAAAGCAAGTCTGTTGCTCTAAATGCATATAATGAGCGGGTCGGACATGTTCAATCATACCGCATTAGAGTCCTTCTGTAATCATTTTCTAGCGTCCGGCTAGACCCCTTTCAGCTTCTGAACGCCCCTACATCAATCCCCCCATACTACTCCCACTCTTTCCAACTACTGCGCCCGAAGTTCTGAACCCAAAGTAAAACCCTAAACCCCCAAACCCCTAAACCCTAAAACCCTAAAGCCCTACCCCTAAACCCTTGCCTCCCCCCCAAACAAGCTGGGCGGTGATTATCTCCTAAAGCCTCTTGAGGTTAGTCCGCTTGCAGCTCATCACGGGCAAGACTCATCAGATCAGGCTACATCTATGGACCTTGAATGAGGTTGAGGATTTGTCTTCCAGGGTTCAGGGTTGGAAGTTGAAGGTATTGCTGTCGGATGCGCAGACAGATTTTTGAATGCTTAGGATTTCGAGTTGAAGGGTTTTCAGGTTTGGGGTTTGGGAGCAGGTCTCTTCAATTAGACCACCCAATGCAGGCTCAAGAAAGCTAAAAGCCTGAGCCCCAAGCCCAATACTAGGACCCAGAGTAGGCCCTTCTTCCTTTTTTTGAGGTTTAGGTACCCTTATAGCCCCCTTTACACTGAAAAGGGCGCACTTTTTATTCCTAGGTTACTCTTGGGTCTAGAATAAGCCCTAAACACTTAAAAGCGAGCTTGAAATGCGAGTTCTGAGTGCTTCACTACCCATGCGCACGCTCCAGTGCCCTGAGCATGAATGCAAAACGCTGCAACCTTGAACCCTAAACCCTAAACCGAAACCCGAAGCCCGAAACCCTAAACCTTAACCGTACTCCCACAACGACGCAGGTTTCGGGCGTCGATAAGCATCAACCCTAGACTCCAGTGTCCATGTAGAAGCTTGGATACTGAGCGATGGAGGTGTAGCTCTTTTGAGAGTTTGTTCTTGGTTTGGGCTTCTTTTCGCACTATATCTTGCAGCTGCATGTTAACATACCCCAAAACAGAATCTCAATAATTCTCAGAAGCTCCCTACAGAAGATCCACCACCGACACAGGGGTGAAAGCTCGGTCAAGAAGCGGTCATATTCACGCTATTGCCGTTACATAGGGGCAACCTAGAAACACGGTGTTCTTTTCGGGTCCTTGTATTCTCTTACAAGGCCTACACATAAGGCTCCTACGATTGAGGGTCTATGCTAGGGTACCTTGTTGTTGGATGCATCCCAAATTCCGATGCAAACTTGATTGCAGGGTTTGGGCTTTGAGGCGTTTTGCTGGCCTTTGGTCGTTCGCCCTGCTTGCAGGGTGCACTTGATGGAGCTCGCCCGCCGATTGAACTTGAAGGCACAGCCTCGCAATAAGCAACCACCGATATTCATGGTATACTGCGAACAACAGCCAGTAGTCCTAAGATCGTCGATAGCGATGATTCTGATGATAATATCCACGCTGGCCACCCCGACCACTTGCCACCACCACCGCCGCCGCCGCCGCCACCGCCGCCGCCACCGCCACCACCACCACCACCGCCGCCGCCACCACCACCACCACCACCACCACCTCCTCCAGCTGCTGTTACTGCTACCGTCTCTCCTGGTACTGCTGCTGCTGCTGCTACCGCCTCTCCTGGTACTCCTGCTACTACTACTACTACTACCACTACTACCACCACTACTACTACTACTACTACTACTACCACTACTACCACTACTACCAATACTACCACTACTACTACTACTACTACTACTACTACTACTACTACTACTACTACTCCTACTACTCCTACTACTCCTCCTACTCCTACTCCTACTCCTACTCCTGCTCCTACTCCTACTCCTACTCCTACTCCTACGCCTACGCCTACTCCTACTGCTACTGCTACTGCTACTGCTACTGCTACTGCTCCTGCTCCTGCTCCTGCTCCTGCTCCTGCCCCTGCCCCTGCTCCTGCTCCTGCTCCTGCTCCTGCTCCTGCTCCTGCTCCTGCTCCTGCTCCTGCTGCTGCTCCTACTACTACGACTGCAAGGATAATTTTCAAGAGCCCTGCATTAACAACCTGTGGAGGCAGAAACGAGACGATGTTCAGGCTTGGGGCTGATGCTGACGCGACCCCTGTCAACAACGAACCGAAGCAATGACAACATCCCCAACACCCGATCACGGATACTGAGCGCCAAAGCACCAGCGTTGGCGCTCGAAGCCTCAGCGCCGAAATTCTGATTATCTTTCAGAGATCCATACTCCGGGTGCGCTAAATCCCACACCCTAAAGCCCTGAACCCCAAAGCCTTATATCCTAAATCCGCCAAGAACCCAAGAAGCTTAAACCCCAAGGCCGGAGTCCTAAAGCCCTAAACCCTGATGCCTGAACCCTGCGAAGCCCTCACCTCGACTCGACAGACTCATGGCATCGTCGGGGACTACAAGTACCTGCCGCCACACAACTTGAAGCTTGATAAGAGGCAAGCTCTAGGGCTTAGTCATAGGGACCCTCAGGGGGGTAGGGGGGAGGGGCTAGGGAGCCTTAATGCCCACAATATGGACCCAAGAATGCCTATTTAAGGAAGTATAGTCCCCCACCCCCCTCCCCCTTACCCCTCTAAGGGTCCCTATGACTTAGGGCTTTGGGATACGAGGCGCATGCATGTGTTGGGTTTAGAGTTACCATCAACCTCGAACCCAGCTCAGTAGAGAAAGGGCCCGACAAAAACCAACAAAGTTAAGACCAACGGACTTAAGCTTAGACCGAAGGGTTCAACATGGATCAACATGGTATAAAAATTGTTAGCAGTACGGCTTGTGACAGCTTCACAGTCTTGATCGAAGGGCTCCATTGCATCAGACTTAAGTGTTTAGGGTTTTAGAGTCAGTCTTTTGGGGTTTTAGAGTCGGTCTTTTAGGGTTTTAGAGTCGGTCTGTTGGAGTTCATTCATGGCTTAAGAGTTGGGTCTAGACTTGGTATTAAGTCGGTTGCCGGGTTTTTCGGTAAGACGAGGGATGTATGTAGAGCTTACTTTTTGGACCTCAGGACCCGGGAAGGTTGTTGACAGTTACTGACTGATGACAATCCTGCATTGTCCTCCTAAGGAATATTAGCAGAGTGCCCATGCAACATTTTCCTGTAGAGCACTTCGGGTAATGTAGAAGGATGTCCATGAACAGAAAGCACCACTGCGCCCGATCCCCCTCGAACGCGCCGGACACAGGCGGTCATGCATATACCTTAGGTACGGCCCCCATGCAGTAAGAGTCTATAATAGGGCTACTATTAAGGTCCTACTATATCTATATTATGAATGTTATTCAACTATTACTGAGTGGGGGCCGTACCCAACATATACCTTGCATGCTAACAAGGCGATGCTGTAGTTGTGCAGACAGGGTTGGGCGAAGAGGCTTTCTGCATTAGGATTTTCGGTGTAATGGGAGTTCATAACAACCCTGAATCCAAAGGCCAAAGCTTCGAATGAACAGAATTTCCTAACCCTAAGGCTGAAAATAGCCCAAAAGCCTTATATAGTAGGGTCTTTGGGCCCAAAAGCCTTAAAATATGAGTCCTTAGAGCCTAAGGGTAGAGGTGTAAGCGCCCTGGGGCAGGATCTGCCGCAGGGTATTTCTCCACTGTTACCGGCTTCACTTTCCGATGCCCGACGTCCACGACGCCTGGTACGGGTTTGGGACTGGGTTTAGGTTTTGGGGACTGGGGTCGGTTTCGGGTTTAGGGTTTAGGGGCTGGGATCTGAATTTTGCTGTCCTGGTGATGAAAATCCGACCTAGACCCGTAGATGTAGTGCGGTTTGCTGGTTGCCTCAGTCTTTGTTTTTAGGATCCTAGTCATATAACAACCCATCCAAGAAAATGGTACGGTAAACCTAAACCCAAGTAGTCAGCTTCAGCTTCTGCAGTTTGCGCCGTTCTGCTTCCGCGGAGTGTTAATATTGATGCATAGTTCTAGATCTAGATGTTTTTTGTACAATAGGGGTCGCAAGATGAGACGAGGGTCTTCGGGTCCGTCCTTTATATTATAGTAGACTTTAGCCTGAAAGAGGAGCGTCGCCTCTTCGCTTGAGGGAAGATGAGTGAATCCCGCCGGGGCCAGCATCGAAAAACTGCTTGGAACCCAGAGGCTGCAATATCCCTTAATTAAGCCATAGTCCTAAAATTACAATAAGATCCCTAATCTGATTTAAGCAATATTCCTAAAATTATAGTAAGATCCCTAATCTGAATTAAGCAATATTCCTAAAATTATAATAAGATCCCTAATCTGATTTAAGCAATATTCCTAAAATTATAATAAGATCCCTAATCTGATTTAAGCAATATTCCTAAAATTATAATGAGATCCCTAATCTGATTTAAGGAATATTCCTTAATTCATTGATATTGGAGTTTCTGGCAATTCGTCTCGTTAGAGCCTCCGCATATGCTTGGTCACGTCTTAGAGCCTAGGGTTTAGGACTTCTACAGCCCTTAGCCTGAAGGCAAAAAAGCGCTCACCCTAGATTCAGGCTTGTCGGCTGAATATAGGGCTCGGAGTAAGTCCTAACAGTATTCCCTTGTAGGCCATATGTAGTTGAAAGAGGACATACCCCCAAGTCCTATTCTGACGATTCAGCCCCCCACGCAAGGGTTGTCCTCAATCCTCAATCATAAACCTCAAGCCTCAAATCCTACACCCCAACAAAACCCACTAAATCCCAGATGCCCAGAGAGGCTTAAACTTCAAACCCTAAACCCCCACAAAAACAATTGAATCCTAGACGTCCCAACTAAATCCTAGAGTCCTGGACGTCCCAACCAAATCCTAGACGTCCAGGATCAGGACGCCAAGTGCAGAATCCGCTGTCCGCTGCCTCCGGAGCTTCAGCAAGCTCTGAAGATGGTCGACTTCGACAAGAGCCCGGGACCCCGAGCTGGGTATTATTAGTATTAGAAGCATTCGTTAATAGTATTAGTAGTATTAGTAGTATTAATTGATAGTATTAGTCGTATTAGTAGCAGTAAGTAGTATTGGTCGTATTAGTCGTGTTAGTAGTAGTAGTAGTAGTAGTAGTAGTAGTAGTAGTAGTAGTAGTAGTAGTAGTAGTAGTAGTAGGTCGTATTAGTCGTGTTAGTAGTAGTAGTAGTAGTAGTAGTAGTAGTAGTAGTAGTAGTAGTAGTAGTAGTAGTAGTAGTAGTAGTAGTAGTAGTAGTAGTAGTAGTAGTTTTAGTAGTAGTAGTAGTAGTAGTAGTAGTAGTAGTAGTAGGCACCCCCCCCTACCAACTACACTTGCTCTCAACCATGTTAAGACCACATCCATTTTGCTCGGTATTTACGGCACTTTCGTCATGTGCGATCATCCTAAGAGGCCCAAAAATCGACTTGTCGAGTTTGCAAACTCGGGCTCTTGATTTTGGACTTGCTTCTGGGGGTGGGTGGGTTTGTGGGGGGGGGGGGGATGATGACGACAGTGTTACGCGAACACACCCAGCAGTATCACCACAAGAGCCGTTTAACTCGGTATTTACGGTACTTTCGTGATGTCAGGCTTTGCTACATATTCTGAGCCCCTACTTCTCGACTATGCGTATTAAACTTTGCTCTTTGGAACTGTTTGCAAAAAAACTCGAAATTGGGTGGGGGAAAGGTTCTTCGGGGATGATCACGACACTGTTTTGCGGACACCCTGAACAATATTTCCACACTCAAGCGCGCACACACCACACACACCACTTCAAAGACAGACCGGTAGGGGTGTTGGCGAGCCCCTCCCACGTACAGCTGGCATCTTTGTTTTTGATGTTCAGAAGATGTTGCGCTTCAGGTTTTAGAAACGTTAAACCCTTGTTGGCAGCACCTGGGTTTTGCACGGTATTCACAGCGTTTTCGTACTATCCGACCACCTGGGGTTTATCAGTTTCTTCCCCGTCGAGCTTGCAACTCCAGCTGCTGTGGCAGTTTTGGGGCCTGAGCCCCTGCAACTTCACCGGCTGTGACAGTTAAGGAAACTGAGCCTCTGCAACTTCTGCAGCTGTCACAGATAGAGAGCCTGAACCCGTGCATCTTCTGCAACTATCGCAGTTAAGGCGCCTAGCAGCTACCGCTGCCCAGCCCGGATGGAACAAGTGTAGTTGGGAGGGGGGGGGGGTGGCTAGTAGTAGTAGTAGTAGTAGTCGTCGTCGTCGTAGTAGTGGTAGTAGTAGTAGTAGTAGCAGTAGTAGTAGCAGTAGTAGTAGTAGTAGTAGTAGTGGTATGGGTTAAGGATTTCTGGTTGAGGGGTTTAGGGTTAAGGATTTATGTTTAGGGGTTCCGGGTTTAGGATTTCCGGTTCAGGGGTTCCGGGTTTAGGATTTATGTTTAGGGGTTCAGGGTTTAGGATTTATGGTTCAGGAGTTCAGGGGTTAGGGGGGGGTGTAGGATGGATGCCACAGCTCTATCATGCAGACTGTACAAACAGGAAAAACTCACCGATACTGTTCCTCAAGACTCCTAAGTTTACTATTTCCCCAATCTTGCCTTTCAGAGAGCCCTAAACCCCTAAACCTCCAAACCCTGAACAATGACAGCCCGACAAACCTAATACAGGCGCCTTCATAATTCCCAATACTTTTTTGGGGGATCCCCATAGCCCTATTCTGATTATTAATTCCGGCCCCTAAAGTACACCGATCCACGTAGCAAACAGATAGTTGACCCCAAGCCGACTCGAACAAGACATGAAGTTGGCAAACAGGCTGACATGCGGCTCGGTCGTAGGCTCCACAAGCTAAACGTAAAATCCCACCTAGGCACGAAAACTCAGCTTGAGGAAAGCCTGGTAAAGCTCCTGAAAGATAATATCGGGCTGCTCCTGCGAAGAACACCATGCACCCCCGAGCGGACCGCCGCTAAATCCGTAAGCCATCTGCAGACCCCCGAACGTCTCTGAGTTTTTCATGTCAGGAAGGTGAAAGGTTTATGTTGGGCTGTGCTGTTTCCGGAGAGTGAGGAGAACTTTCAGGTTTGAAGCCCCTACGACTAATGATCCTCAGGAGTCAGGGGTGCTCGATTCTTAGGATTTTTGACTTTTAGGGTCTTCGGGTTGAGGTGTTCGGGAGTTCAGGGTTTCAGGTTTCCAGTTGAGGTTTCCAGTTGAGGGACCAGGGTTTGGGCATGTTTGGGGCTTAGCAGTGGTTGGGGCTGGTATGTGAACTGCAGGCAGACTGTAGCTTCGAAGAGGCAGCTTGAGGAGATCTGTGTTTGGCATTGGGTGGGACCCGGCATGGGCCCTTATTCCCTTTTTAAAACCGAAAAGGGCACCCTTTTTTGTTCCTAAATTACTCTTGGGTCTAATTTACAGAGCATAAGAAAGCTCCAGACGACCCAAGGTCTCACAGCCGCATACCGGAAACAGAACCAGAAAGGGTCCATCATGGAGATCGACGACCTCATGGACCAAAGGCGGGATGCAAGCCCGAAGCCCTCAACCCAAAGCCCTCATCTGTACGTAGGGTTTCGGGTCGGGTTTGGGGTTCTCCGCTTGAGGCGGCGAAGCCCCGAACCTGTTAACCTTTACGTTCGCGAAACCCTCAGCGCGAAGGAAGAGCACCAATATTCCGGGCGTGACTGACTACACGGCTCCTTGGGCATCCAAGCCGAGGCGGTTCTAGCACAAGCCGGGCCAAGCAGACGGTGTGGAGGGTGAGCATATACATAGGGTTATATAATGCTGTATGCAGTACATATGAGTATACAGATCCTGGCCGGGTGCCATCACCTAACACTTCGAATTGCTTGGCTCGGCGAAGTCATTGGCGTGCCTGGTCAATGGGAGGTGCAGCTTTTTCTCGCCATCGCGAGACAGAAGCAAGGAACTATGACTGCAGATCTTTGGACTGCCACAGTTGAAAGGGCCAAACTGGCAGCTTGCAGAAAATCCCTGGGAGGGAGATCTCTTCTAGGTGAGCTCGGGCTTCGGGCAAAATGCTGCATGCCATCGCGATTGCATTCCTGAATATGACGAAATACAACGACTGAGACCACTTCAAGACGTCACCGGTCCGAGACGTCATGAGCATTTGCTGACGCCAGATCTGTTTGAGATACCGTTTCATATTTCCCCCTGCCGGTTTACATCATGCACTTTACCCGCAGTATCCGCACCGCGCACCAGTTCCTGGCTCCCCCTTAGACCAAATATGGTTTCACCGCCAGAGTCGCATCATTCGCAGCTTTCTGGCGCAACGTCCTTGCTTACCTGTGTCTTCCGCGTTCTCGCAAGAGCTATGTGGCGTGATGCTGAGGACTCTAACGTGTTTCTGCAAGGACATTGCCCGGCACTCTCGACCCTTGATGCTTGTGGCACTCTTTTGTGCCCACTCCCGCGGGATTCAAAAACAGAGGCACGTCATCATGTCGTGCTTGCGTTGTTCCCAGCAGGCGCGAAAGGTTCTTGTTGCTAAGGGTCCTCTGACGATACAGTTCCGAAATACTTCCTATAGTCTCCATTGTAGTTCCTTGTTGTGGTTAACCAAAATCTCTATTCTAGGATCCTAGCCATAAAACTGGTTAACCAAAAAAAGGAACTACAATGGCGTGGGCGAGTCCTAGCTGCAGGACCCGAAAACTGAACCCTATATGGGTGGTTGTCAAAATTATGGTCTTTTTTTGGGTCCCTAATATAATAGTACGGCACCTATATTATGTAGGGCCCAAAAACGGACCCTAATTTTGACAACCACCCATATGGTTTCCTTATCGTGGTAACTCCAAACCCTAAACCCTAAACCCTAAACTGAAAAAAAAGTTCCCTTAGAACAATAATTAAAATACAAAAAATAAACTGAACCCTGAACCGCAAGCCTTAAAATCTACACTTCCGAGACCCCTGGCTCGAAAGTTGGCCCCAGCACCACTCGTCGGATCAGAAGGTTCCACGAGAGTGGTCTACCACTGCCACTACCACGAGCACCACCGCCACCATCACCGGCGCCGCCACCACAACCAACACCGCTACTACTACCACCACCACCACCACCACCAGCACCACCCCACCACCGCCACCACCACCACCACCACCACCATCACCACCAGCACCGCCACCGCCGCCGACGCCACCACCACGACCGCCACCACGACCACAACGAGTAGTACTACCACTCCTCCTCCTCCTCCTACGAGACCTTAACCCTAAAAGGGAACGGTTTGAACTTCACTTTCACTGTCCACTGGAGTGGGTGGCTCACATGATGGAGCCAGATCGTTTAAGCCCTGCCTATAAGGCTCCTGTATAGTTCCGTTTTGGGGTTACCTTATAAGATCCTAAATATAGAACTCGTTAAACCAAAGAGAGAAACTGCAATGGAGACTATAGGTAAGTCCCATTGAAGCCTCAGGATCCGCACTTCCACACTGCTTCATATCACTATGCCAGGGAGACCTCTCCTAATGTAGGGGCCTTAATAATTAGAATAGGGTTTGGGGGTATAGTATACTATAAGTGTCATAAGGAACCCCAATACCCTACTCTATTTATTATTAAGGCCCCTACCCGCCCCCAGCATCCCCCAAAACCGCCCCTATCCGGCCCACATTCAATGCATAGCAAAGCATTTTGGGTGAATCTACGGCATTGAAAGACATGAACCGAGACTGCTTGCACCTGTCTGTGGTTTCAAGTGTTTTATATAGGTCTTGCTCTCAATGGAGGGATCCCCGAGCAAACGAGTTCTCTTCGTTTTTTCTTTGGGCCGTCGGGTGTGAGCTTCCTTTTGGGCTGGGTTTTGGGTTTCAAGTTTCGGGATCTGGGGTACTGGGGCTTAGGGTTTGGGGTAGGTACGTACCATTTCAGAACCGAAGCTCGTGCAATCTTTGCCTCCAGCTATCGTTAACTTGCTCTTTTGCCCGAACCCTAAACTCTAAACCGTATAGTGGTGCTGCTACAACTTCACACGCGGCGAACCGGCAGGTTCTAGTAGACTTAGGAGGGAACCTCCGTTGGGTTTCGTACTTGCAGCATCAAGCTTCGGGCACTGTGGTACGTCGGGTGTGCAGATTTCACTGCGCGAGGGCTCTGACGGTGTTCTTTGCTTCTTGGGTTTAGGGCTGTCTTGGCTTGGGTTTAGGGTATAGGGTTTAGGGTTTAGGGTGCGTCTTCAGTGTGGTCATGTAAGAGGCGTTTCTGAGTAGGATGTGAGCGAGTTCGTTACGACTCGTTCAATTCAGTCGGCTAAGGAACCCAGAACGCCTCCTTTGGATACAGCGTAAGTTGGAGGTGCATGGGTAGTTATAAGTGGGGTTATAAGTCGCGGAATATGGGTTATAGCTATAGTTACCCTACTTATAACCTTACATCTAGCGACCCATGAACCTCCAAGCAGACCCTAAACCCTATACCCTTATGGAATCCGTATAGTTTAAAGGGACCCTTATATAATACCAATAATGAATAATGAAAGTGTTTCGGCTCCCAAGTTCCGACAGCGCAGCAGAGCCCAGAATGCATTACATCCCTTCGGTCTGGTCGCAGTGGTGCCGAAGAGCCAGCTCCAGTTGACGACTTTGGGTACAGATGTCCGATAGACGATGTCGGTAGAGAGTCTACTTCAACCCTAAACCCTAAACCGTGTCTAATTCTACTATGTAGAGCTATCTTGCATATAGGGTTAATCCAGCATTGGCCTGACACTTTCGTCGGTAAACCTGTTGCTTCCCTCGGTATGGGGTACGGGGAAAGTCCGTTGAAGAGTGTTTCCGTGAGAATGGCCTTCGCAGATGTGTTCTGATTCTGGCCTTGCTTCTGGGGCCTAAATAATTACAAACGCTATTGTGGAGGTTCCTGATTATGATTCTTGTAGAATGGGCCCCAAAACCCTATTCTACTTAGTAAGGCCCCTGTATTATTCCAATTCGTCATGCTTTGCATCTTCGAGCCACTCGCGAGGCTCGTTGCGAGCGGCGTGCGGAGGATAAGCCTAGTTCCGGCTCCAAATCTGTGCCCTGCAAGGCCCCAAGTTGATCGTCCAGGTTGGTCCGTGCAAAACAGGAGCCATTGACCATCGTGTGCCACGGCCTTTCGAAACTTCCTGGTGGTAAAACGCAAGCTGTCTTCAAGAGTGATGGGGCGTTGGATCAGGTTTTCGGGAGTGCATGGTACATCCACTTGCGCGCTCGTCTCGTCCGGTGAAGCATGCCCGAAACTTCGATACCAGATCGTGGCAATGCCTCAAGTCCGAAATCAGGGCAGGCACCTGCCACGTTGCAGTGATATTTCCTGGGAGCCCCATCACCTGAGATGCAGCATGCTGGTGACAAATGAGAGTTTCCGAATACAGGGGACCCTAATATAGCACCCTAAATCGTACGATCCTTATTATAAGGACCCCCAAAGAAGGTACCCCTCATTTTCGGAAACCCCCAAATGGCAGTGACAAGCAGCGACACACAGTTTCAGCTCCAGGTAGAGATTGTTTGACAGAGTGACTTCCGCCGCCCTTGACTATCTCAAGGAGGTCAACAGCAGAGCAACTTTCTTGAACTGCACACGCCTTTCGGCCTGACCGGAAAGAAGTGGTCGCAGTGCAAGAGGACTCTCTGAACGGTCGTGGTGCAAAAAACGTATGTGGCAATTGATGAACTTCGTGCGGCGCAGGTTTTTTCGATATCAACCAGGCAGTGCCAACAACAGCATTTTCAGATTCAAGCCCTTTCCCATCGGCAGCTGATGTGATGACGTCTGCGAGCCCTGTTGTCATCCAGCTGATGATCAGCTTGGCGATGTCTTTGGCTCGCAGACGTCATCACATCAGCAAGCCCTGCTGGCATCCAGGTGGGGAAGCAGATCCCTGCTCCCTAAACCTTAACAAGTGTGGAAGATCTTATGGCTTGTTCCAGGCACTAAGCCCCAAAACCTAGACCCCTAAACCCCAAACCCTAAACCCCTAAACCCCAAACCAAGTTGAAGTGGTCTTCGCGGACAGACGCCGAGAGGCCCAGTTCTTGTTGAAAGGACGTCTGTGGGCGTTGCTCCGTTCGAACCAGAGCAACCAAGGGACTTCGGGTTTGGGGTTTAGAGTTTATGGCGATGGCTTCACATCTCAGAATTGAGAAGACACAGTAACTAGAGGCTCGAATTTCCGGGACAGCCCAAACCACCTTAGTTTGAACATGAACTCTGCTCTTTCATTGTCATTTCTAGTCCGTACAAGCAAGAAGTAAGGTTGCACCCGGTTGTCGACGCCTCGGCCCCTCCTACAGTCCGAAGGCTATGTATGTTCTTCAGTCGCAGACGACTTATTGGAGGTTTGGAAGTTGGGACTTCAGTGGGTACTGGGCTCTTTGGGTAGAGCCCAAGGTCTGGTAAAAACTGGCTGACAGCCGAATATTGTTCTACTCAACTCACGCCGCCAAGAGTTCATGATCTTTGGTTGGAGAACAATGTCTGCCGTAGCGAATATAAGAGACTTCGAACCTTAAAATGCCCGTAGCCCTGCTTGAAAAAGATCATGGGGCTTGGTAAGTAAGTCGGTTCTACTTGGGGGTTAGTGCTACCCGATTGGGTGCCTACGACTGGTAACAAGATTATTTCTCTACTTACAAGCTACTCACTATGTCCCTTGAGCGTCTACGTAAACCCATGCGCAGGCGGGCCCACCCCTATATCAGGTCCACA